TATTGGAGTTAAAGAGGGAACTGAGAAAGACAAAGGGGTAGAAAGTTTTTATAAGGAAACAACAGAAAAATTTCCAAACCTGAGGAAAGGTATAAATTTGCAGGTATAAAGAGGTCAAAGATCGCTAATCAGATTCAACCCAAATAATAACACCCTAAGACATATTATAATGAAACTCTCAAAGATCAAAGACAAAGACAGGATCCTGAAAGCAGTGAGAGAAAAGAAGCAAATAATATATAAGGAAGATCCAATATGCCTGGTAGCAGACTCCTCGGCAGAATCTTACAGACCAGGAGGGAATAAGATGACATACTCAGTGTTGAACAAAAAAACCCTGCCAATCATGAATACTGTGCCAAGCAGAGTTATCCTTCAGAAATGAAGAAGAGACACTTTCCTAAACAAAAGCTGAGGAAATTTATCACTACTAGACCTGTCCTACAAGAAATGCTAAAGGGAATACTTCAAACTTAAGAAAAACAGCCACTAATGTGACTGTTATACCAACACTGAAATCATGGTGTGTAAACCACTTATATCTTTAGTAAGAAGACTAAAAGGCAAAATTATTAAAAATAATTACAACAATTTATTCAGAGATAGACAATATAAAAATTTAATTGGAACACCAACAATTCAAAATGTGAAGGAGAAGGAGATTAAATTACACAGGTTTTTAATTTTTTTGTTGTTTTTGCTACTATCACAGTTAAGTTGATACCAGTTTTTGATAACTTGTTATAACAATAGGATGTTTTGTATAAGTCTCACCACAAAGCAAAAACCTGTGAGAGATACACTAAAAACAAACAGCAACCAATTAATCATACTACCAGAAAAAAATCATTTCACCACAATGAAAGACAGTAAATGGGAAAGAAAGGGAGGAGTTGCAAAACAACTAAAAAACAAGTAACAGAAAGGCACAGATCCTTACCTATCAATAATAACATTGAATGTAACTGGACTAAATTTTCCATTTAAAACACATAGAGTGGGTGAACGGATTAAAAAAGAAATCCAACTATATAATTCCTAAAAGAAATTCACTTCATAAGACACACATAGACTGAAAGTAAAAGAATGTAAAAAGATATTCCATTTAAATGGAAATCAAAAAAGAGCAGAAATAGCTATACTTAGACAAAACAGACCACAGATCAAAGACAGTAAAAAGAGACAAGGCCAGTATAAAATAATAAATGTGTCACGTTAGCAAGAGGATATAAAAATTATAAATATCGGCCGGGCGCCGAGATCGGGCCACTGCACTCCAGCCTGGGCCACACAGCGAGACTCCGTCTCAAAAAATAAATAAATAAATAAATAAATATAAATATCTATGCACCCAGGCACATAAAGCTCCCGAGTATATAAAGCAAACATTAATAGATCTAAAGGGACAAATAGGTGGTTGCAATAAAACAACAGACAGGGACTTCAATACCCCATTCTCAGTAATGGACAGATTGTCCAGATTGAAAAAATCAACAAAGAAACATCAGAGTTCAACTACAAACTAGGCCAAAGAGGCATTTTGCAACTGACATTTACAGAATATTTCATCCACTGTTGCTGAATACATATTCTTTCTTTTCTCTCTTTTCTTTTTTTTTGTGACAGGGTTGCCCAGGCTGGAGTGCAGTGGCACAATCATAGCTCACCGCAGCCTCGAACTCCTGTAGTCCCAAGTAGCTGGGACTACAAGTGCACATCATCGTACCTAGCTAATTTTTTTCACTTTTTGTAGAGACAGATTCCCACTATGTTGCCCAGGCTCACATTCTTATCTGCACATGGAATATTACCCAGAATACATAAATAGGTTAGGCCACAAAATAAGTCTCATCAAATTTTAAAAGGTAGAAATCCTATCAAGTATATTATCTAACCACTATGGAATAAAAATAGAAATCAATAAGAAGAAGAACTTCAGAAATTATACAAATACATAAAATGTAAACAACATGCTCCTGAATGAACAAAGGGTGAGTGAAGACATTTTTAAAAAAATGTTAGTGTCTTGAAACAAATAAAAATGGATATACCAAACCTATGGGCTACTGTGAATGCAGTACAAAGAGGAAAGTTTATAGCAATAACTGCTTACATCAAAAAAAATACAAAAATTTCAAACAAACAATGCACCTAAAGGTGCATATTAAAATTAAGAGCATTATTGAAAATATTATTGGACATATTACTGAAAATGATGCTTTTAGAATTGCATTGAGAATATATTCGATAGGATTTCTACCTTTAAAATTTTGATGAGACTTATTTTGTGGCCTAACATATTATATATTTTGGATAATACATAATACATTTATGTATTCTGGATAATTCCATGTGCTGATAAGAATGTGAGCCTGAGCAACACAGGGGCAACATAGCCTGTCTCTACAAAAGGTAAGTTCAAGTTGGTCTTGAACTGCCTTTTCCACACTGGAATAGCAACAGCCAAACCCAATATTATTAGAAGGAAAACAATAATAAAGATCAGAGCAAAAATAAATGAAATTGAGACTACAAAACAATACAGAGGATAAATGAAACAAAGAGTTGATTTCTTGAAAAGATAAACAAAATTAACGAACACCTTCGATGACTAAGAAGAGAGAGAATCCAAATAAATAAAATGAGATGAAAAAGGAAACATTACAACTCATACCACAGAAATACAAAGGATCACTACAGACTATTATGAACAACTACACACCAACAAATTGGAAAACCTAGAAGAAATGGATAAATTCCTGGGCCCACACAAGCTACTGAGACTGAACCATGAAGAAACAGAAAACTTGAATAGAACAATAATAAGCAATGAGATAAAAGCAGTAATAAAAAGTCACCCATCAAAGAAAAGCCCAGGACCTGATAGATTCACTGCTGAATTCTACCAAACATTTAAAGAAAAACTAACCAATTCTACTCAAACTATTTCAAAAAACTGAAGAAGAGGGAACACTTTTTTTTTTTTTTTTTTTGAGACAGGTTTTCACTCTGTTGCCCAGGCTGGGGTACAGTTGAGCACTCATGGCTCAATGCAGACTCTACTTCCCAGGCTCAAGCAATCCTTCCACTTCAGCCTCTTGAGTAGCTGGGACTACAGGCACATGCCATCACACTTGGCTAATTTTTGTATTTTCTGTAGAGATGGGGTCTCACCAGGTTGTCTAGGCTGGTCTTGAACTGAGCTCAGGCAATCTGCCCACCTTGACCTCCCAAAGTGCTGGGATTACAGGCACGCACCACCGTGCCTGGCCCACTTCTAAACTCATTCTACAAGGCCAGCATTACGCTGATACCAAAACCAGACAAGGACATAACAGAAACAGAAAACAACAGGCCAATATCGCTGATGAACACAGATGCAGAATCCACAACAAAATACCATCAAACTGAATTCAAAAACATTTTTAAAAGATCGTTCACCATAACCAAGTGGAATTCATCCCAGGGATGCCAAGACGGTTCAACATACACAAATCATTAAACATGATATATTATATCAACAGAATCAAGGACAAAAACCATATAATAATTTCATATTAAAATTAAAAACATTATTGAAAAGCATCAGATAAAATTCAACATATTTTCATGATAAAAGCTCTCAACAAATTGGGTATAGAAGGAAAATAACAGGCTGGGCACAGTGGCTCACGCCTGTAATCCCAGCACTTTGGGAGGCCAGGGCGTGTTAAATCATGAGGTCAGGAGTTCAAGACCAGCCTGGCCAAGATGGTGAAACCCCATCTCTACTACAAATACAAAAATTAGCTGAGCGTGGTGGTGGGCACCTGTAATCCCAGCTACTGGGGAGGCTGAGGCAGAGAACTGCTTGAACCCAGGAGGCGGAGGTTGCAGTGAGCTGAGATCAAGCCACTGCACTCCAGCCTGGGTGACAGAGCAAGACTCCATCTCAAAAAAAAAAAAAAAGAAAGAAAAAAAAAAGGAAGGAAAATAACACAGTAAAGATCATTTACAACAAACCCATAGTTAATATCATAGGAATAGGGAAAAACTGAAAGTCTTTCCACTAAGATATAGAACAAGACAAGTATGCCCACTTTCACCACTATTATTCAGTATAATACTGGGAGTCCTGACTAGAGCAACTAGACAAGAGAAAGAAAGGGCATCCAAATTGGAAAGAGAGAAGTTAAATTATCCTTGTTTGCAGAGGATATAATCTTATATTTGGAAAAACCTTAAAACTCCCCCAAAAAACTATTAGAACTGATAAACAGGGCTGGCATGGTGTCTCATGCCTGTAATCCCAGCACTTTGGGAAGCAAGGGGGCAAATCGCTTGAGCCCAGGAGTTTGAGACCTACCTAGGCAACATGGCAAAACCCCATTTCTACAAAAAATTAAAAAATTAGCCAAGCATGGTGGTGCACGCCTGTAGTCCCAGCTACTTCGGAGACTGAGGTGGAGGGATCACTTGAGCTTGGGATGTTGAGGCGGCAGTGAGCTATGATCACGACACTGCCCTCCAGCCCAGATGACAGAGTGAGATCTTGTCTCAAAACAGAAACAAAAACAAAAAAAGAACTGATAAATTCAGTCAAGTTGAAAGACACAAAATTAACATACAAAAACCAGTAGTATTTCTGTACACTAAAAGCAATCAATCTGAAAAAGAAATCAAGAAGGCAATCCTATTTAAAGCAGCTACAAAAAATTAAAGTATCTAGGAAGAAATTTAATCAAGAAGTGAAAGATCCACAGAGTGTGGTAGCTCACGCCTGTAATCCCAAAGCTTTGGGGAGACCAAGGCAAGAGGATTGTTTGAGCCCAGGAACTCAAGGCTGCAGTGAGGTATGATCAGATGCACTGCACTCCAGCCTGGGCTACAGAGCGAGACTCCGCCTCAAAACAAACAAACAAACAAACAAAAAAAACACCCACTATGTGAAGGAGTGTTTTCAGTTACAGTTTAAATTTTTAAAAAAGTAATTTAAAATATGTAATTTTAAAATAATTTACCTGTTTGTTACATTCTTTAAGTTCCAATTCTGATTTCTCCAGGGTACCTTCTAATTTAATTATTTTTTGTTCCATTTCTCCTCTGTGTTCGCGAATAGTCATATCCAAATGTGTAACCTAAAAAATAACCTTAAATTGTTCAATTTTGTTCTGATACAAAAACTTATATGCTTAGAATAGGCTTTGTAATTGTTTATTGCAAGTATAACAAGTATAACCTCATTTCAAATTATTTTTAAATGGGAAAAATAATCATTGTTTACTAATACTGGTTCATGAGCCTCATATACATTTTTTTTAACAATACACACTGACATTCAATCCATATACATTATAGAAACAATAAAATATAGTTGTGTTCATAAATGACAAATAATTCAGACTTCATTTTATGCTGGATAAAAAGTGCTAAATAATGCCTTCCAAATATTTTTGTTCCTCCAACACTTAGCTGCTTCTGATATAGGGTAATATAAGAGATCAAAAGGTTCAGATACTAAGCTAATCTTCATTTTCAAAATCTACTTGCTAGAAAAATATCAAGATAGAGATTACATATCTCTATGCTATATGCTATAAAAATGCCCATTTTACCAAAAATTGATGACCTCTCAAATCCTGTGGACTGTGTCATAACAGAAAACTTCACTAAAATATAATCAAGAAAAATCAACCTGAGCTGCTCTTTGCTTTAGTTCCCAATTTCTCTCCTTAAGTGCCTGATCCATTTCAAGGAGCTCCTGCTTTTTGTCTTCAATCTCCATCTTGCATTCTCTACAATGTATCAAAGGAAAAAGATCAAAACAGATAGTAGGAATATTATAATTTTAAAAAGTTAGGTCAACCAGGTTACCTCCTCTATAAATTAAAAGCAAAATAATATATGCAATCAAGTCAGATTGAAAGGGTCAAATTAAAGGAATAATAGATAAAGAAAAAGATTGACATCAATACAATTAATTTAATAAAGGGTATTCTAAAAGGGTAAAAGTTAACTCACATTGTGGTATTACAGATAATTTAAGCTAATTGTTAAAGCACTCCCAGGACTCCAAGATTGAATGATAAGAATTTTTAAAAATACATATCCACATTTTTTCATACACAGATCAAGCGAGTGTTTCAAAGTCTTTTACATATAACAGCTGTGACTTTATTACAATTGAATGAGGCATTTAACCATAGTATTTCTCATGAGGATGTTACTCAAAATGATGCCTTACATATAAAAAGACACTTAAATCTAATATTAACGTATTACAAATTCTAAGCCCTCTTAAACCCTAATTTATGTATGACCTTATATTATAAAATGCTTAATACTGACACAATTTTAAGGCTTTTACGAAAGTAAAGCCTGTGATCAGAGAATAATTTGAAACTCTAAGTTCTGATAAGACAAAGGCTGAAAATGTTGATCTTGAAAATCTTCATATGATTTTCCAGTCTGAAACATGAAACAGTACTGATAAGGGTACTAATTTTTAAAAGAAAATTTTGAACTTCTTTAATGAGTTGTTTTTAATATTCTTCTAAAAATCTTAAGAGGTATAACACAAGGCTAAAACTAATATTCTAAAAATAGTATGAAATTAAAGAAAACTCTAATTTCTATCTATGCAAATAGTGGAGCTTCCACGATTCATCTGTTAGCTAGAACTTAATATTTCACTGTTTACATCTTTCATGTTTTCATTTACTTATTGATTTTGCAAATATTTACTGGATGTTTCCTATATGCCAGGGTTCTAAGTGCTGTGGATTTAATAGTAAAAAAGATAAATGTTTCTGATCTGAGTTTACACTCTAATAGGTCCAGGAGAAAAGACAGACTATAAATACCTAAGTAAGAAAAATATAATATTAAGTGCTATATTAGAGCATTAATTGTGTGATGAAGTAGTGACTGGGTGGCTACTTTAGAGTGAGTAGTCAGAGAAGGCTTCTCTCTGAAGTAATGTGAAAGACAACAAGAAGCTGACCATATAACTGTTATCCCAGTAAAAAGAAACAGCTATGGCCAAGATTCCATGGTAGAAGCAAACTTGGTAAGTGTAAAGTATGAGAAAAATGTCAGGAGCAAGGAGAGTTGTATGAAATGAGGCCAGAGAAGTAGACAGGAACCAGACCACATAGGGCTTTGTATTCCAAGATAAGGAACTTGGATTTTTTTAACTGTGGTAAAATTCATGTAACATAAAAGTTACCATTTTAACCATTTTAAAGTACACAGTTCAGAAGCATTAAGTATATTCATAATGTTATGTAACCATCACCACTATCTATGTCCAGTATTCTTCCATTGGTCCCCCACAAAGAACTTCATACTCATTAGCATTTATTTCCCATTCTCCCTTCCCCTAGTCCCTGGCAATCACTAATCTTTCTTTCCCTATGAATTTGCCAATTCTCGATATTTCATATAAATGGAATTATGCATCATGTGTCTGGCTCCTTTCACTTAGCATAATGTTTTCAAAGTTCATGCACTTTGTACCATGTATCAGTATTTTATTCCTTTTTATGACTAAATAATATTCTTTGTATGGATATACTATATGATATGGTTTGGCTGTGTTCTCACCAAATCTCATCTTAAATTCCACATGTTTAGGAGAGACCCAGTGGGAGGTAACTGAATCAGGGGGCAGGTCTTTCTCGTGTTATTCTCATGACAGTGAATAAGTCTCATAAGATCTGATGGTTTTAAAAATGGGAGGTTCCTTGCACAAGTTCTCTTGTCTGCTACCATGTGAGATGTGCCTTTCACCTTCCACCATGATTGTGAGGCCTCCCCAGCCACGTAGAACTGTGATTCCATTAAACCTCTTTCTTTTGTTAATCACCCAGTCTCAGGTATGTCTTTTTCAGCAGCGTGAAAACTCACTAATACAGTAAATTGGTACCAGTAAAGTGGGGCACTACTATAGATATGGAAGTGACTTTGGAACTGGGTAACAGGTAAGGGTTGGAACAATTTGCTGGGCTCAGAATAATACAGGAAAATGTGGGAAAGTTTGGAACTTCCTAGAAACTTGTTCAATGGTTTTGACCAAAATGCTGATAGCAATATGGACAATGAAGTCCAGAATGAGGTGGTCTTGGAGAGAAATAAGGAACTTGTTGAGAACTGGAGCAAAGGTGACTCTTAGGTTTTAGCAAAGAGACTGGTGGCATTTTGCCCCTGCCATAGAGATTTGTGGAATTTTGAACTTCAGAGAGATGATTTAGGGTATCTGGTGGAAGAAATTTCTAAGCAACAAAGCACCCAAGAGGTCACCTGAGTGTGATAGAAAAGAAAATCCCATTTTCTGAGGAGAAATTCAAGCTGGCTACAGAAATTTGCATAAGTAACAAGGAGACGAATGTTAATCCCCAAGACAATGGGGAAAATGTCTCCAGGGCATGTCAGAGGTCTTTGCAGCAGCCTCTCCCATCACAGGCCTGGAGGCCTAGGAGGAAACAACGGTTTCATGGGTGGGATCCAGGGTCACCGTGCTGTGTGCAGCCTAGGGACTTGGTGCCCTGCATCTCAGCCACCCTAGCTGTGGCTGAAAAAGGCCAACACGGAGCACGGGCCGTGGCTTCAAGGGTGTGAGCCCCATGCCTTGGCAGCTTCTACCCAATGTTGAACCTGTGAGAACACAGAAGTCATGAACTGAGGTTTGGGAACCTCTACCTAGATTTCAGAGGATGTATAGAAAGGCCTGGTTGTCCAGGCAGAAGTTTGCTGCTGAGGCAGGGCCCTCATGGAGAGCCTCTGCTAGGGAAGTGCAGAAGGGAAATGTAGGGTGGGCACCCCTATACAGAGTCCCCCACTGGGGCACTGCCTGGTGGAGCTGTGAGAAGAGGGAGGGCCACCATCCTCCAGAACCCCAGAATAACAGATGCACTGACAACTTGCACTGTGCGCCTGTAAATACCACAGACACTCAATGCCAGTCCATGAAAGCAGCCAGGAGAAAGGCTGTAGCCTACAAAGCTACAGGGGTGGAGCTGCCCAAGACCACGGGAACCTACCTCTTGCATCAGTGTGACCTGGATGTGAGACATGGAGTCAAAAGAGATCATTTTGGAGCTTTAAGATGTGACTGCCCTGCTGAATTTCGGATTAGCATGGGGCCTGTACCCCCTTTGTTTTGGCCAATTTCTACCATTTGGAATGGGTGTATTTACCCAACGTCTGTGCCCCAACTGTATCTAGGAAGAAAGTAACTTGCTTTTGATTTTACAGGCTCATAGGCAGAAGGGATTTGCCTTGTCTCAGATGAGACTTTGGACTTTTGAGTTAATGCTCAAATGAATTAACACTTTGAGAGACTGTTGGAAAGGCATGATTTGTTTTGAAATGTGAGGACATGAGATTTGGGAGGAGCTGAGGCGGAATGATATAGTTTGGCTGTGTCCCCACCTAAATCTCATCTTGAATTCCCACGTGTTGTGGGAGAGACCCAGTGGGAGGTAACTGAATCGTGGGGGCAGGTCTTTCCCATGCTGTTCTCATGAGAGTGAATAAGTCTCACAAGATCTGATGGTTTTATAAAGGGGAGTTTCCCTGCACAAGCTCTCTTCTCTTGTCTGCCACCATATGAGATGTGTCTTTCACCTTCTACCATGATTGTGAGGCCTCCCCAGCCATGTGGAACTGTAAGTCCACTAAACTTTTCTTTTGTAAATTGCCCAGTCTTGGGTATGTCTTTATCAGCAGCATGAAAACAGACTAAGACACTATATTTTGTTCATCCATTTATCTGATGATGAACATTTGGACTGTTTTCACTTTTTGGCTTACTTTGTAAACAATTTTTGCTTAGATACCTGTTTTCAACCCTTTTGAGTACAAAACTAGGAATAGAATTACTGGGTCATGTGGTAACTCTACATTCAACTTACTGAGGAAGGCTAACATGTTTTCTATAGTGGCTGCACCATTTTAGATTCCCACTAGCAATGAATGAGGGTTCCATTTTTTTTCCGCACTTGCTAACACTTGTTCTTTTCTATTTTTTGTTTTTCAAAAATGACCATCCTTAGTGGGTATGAAGTGATATATATCAATGTAGTTTTTATTTTCATCTGTGAAGGAGTTTGGATTTTATTCTGAAGGTTTTAGAAAGCCATTAGAAGGTTTGAGTAGTTAAGCAATATGATCTAATTTACTTTTTTTTTTTTTTTGAGATGGAGTCTCGCTCTGTCACCCAGGCTAGAGTAGATCTTAGCTCAATCTTGGCTCACTGCAACCTCCACCTCCAGGTTCAAGCAATTCTCCTGCCTCAGCCTCCTAAGTAGCTAAGACTACATGCGCCTGCCACCACAATTGGCTAATTTTTGTATTTTTAGTAGAGACGGGGCTTCACCATATTGGCCAGGCTGGTTTTGAACTCCTGACCTTGTGATCTGCCTGCCTCGGCCTCCCAAAGTGCTGAGATTACAGGAGTGAGCCACCGTGCCTGGCCTAATTTATGTTTTAAATAATAAACTTAAATCTGTTTTTGGAAAATGGATTGTTGGGAGGGGGTCAAGATTGTAAGCAGACAGCCCAGTTAGGAAGCCACAGCAACAGACCAGGTAAGAGATGATGCTTTGTGCTAAGGATAACAGAAAAGAGGCCAGGAAATCAATGGATTTAATAATATGTTTTGGGGCTGGGTGCAGTGGCTCATGCCTGTAATCCCAGCACTTTGGGAGGCCCAGGTGGATGGATCACCTGAGGTCAGGAGTTCAAGAACAGTCTGGCTAACACAGCAAAACCCTGCCTCTATCAACAATTCAAAAATTAGCCGAGCGTGGTGGCAGGTGCCTGTAATCCCAGTTACTAGCTGAGGCAGGAGAATTTCTTGAATGGGAGGCAGAGGCTGCAGTGAGCTGAGATCATGCCACTGCACTCCAACCTGGGCAAGACTGTCTGAAAAAAAAAAAAGAGTATGTTTTGGAAATAAAGTTGACATGGCTTGCTAATACACTGGATGAAAAAAGGGATAGAAAGAGAGAACAAGAAAAATCTTACATATCTGTAGTTTGAGCAACTGCATGATACTGAGTTAGGGGAAGGGTAGGGTTATGAGGAAATATATGAGTCCTATTTTGGCCAAGTCTGGGATGTCTCTTAAAAATATCCAAATGGAGGTAACAACTCAGTAGTTGGATATTGACTCTGGAGTTACAGGAAAAGGTCAATACTGGAGAAACAGGTTTGGAAGTGTCTGACGCATAGTATTTAAAGCTACATGAAATTTATCAAGGATGAGTTTGTGGATACAGAAGAGAAGGAGGCCCTACACTGAATTCTGTGGTACAATATCTAAGTTTCTGGGTTATCTTGTTGCTCTTTATCCTGTTCTTTTATTTCACATTTTACATCCTAATTTGCAATTCTCTTTTCCTTTTCTGAATCTATTTCCCATACTTTGGCTCTAATCTGGCTGTCCACCTCCACTCACTATACATGTGTGTCGGCATAGCAGTTTATGTTATACTGCTAATCTAAGATCCCAGACTTTAGAGTTGGACAGACTTGTGTTTAACTCCCTTCTCTAGACTCTACTACTGGTATGACTTGGGGCATTTTATTTTTCTCAAGGCCTCAGGCTTCTCAACTATTAAAAAGGTGATATATGTTTCTAATAGGTGTGTTGTAAGGAAATAAGTGAGATCATATGTGAAGTCCCTGGTATAGTCCTGTCATAAAATAAGGACTTAATACAAAGAACAATATTATCATTATTAATATCCTCCTGCTGTTAGCCACTGCTATATGCTTGCCCAATCATTTTTTACCACTAGGGCCAGTATAAAATGGTCTAAAGACTGAGGATGAAAGTTTTGGTGGCCAACAACAGCTGAATTAGTTAGATAAGGCACGGGATAGGCTGGCTGGGATGAGCCAAAGTGAGTCAAAGGCAGTTGAGAAATATAGACATCTAGAATGCAACAACACATTTTATTGTATTATCCAAGGACTTATAATTGCGATATCATTTCTTATTTAACTCACCTAAGTTCAGCTGTGAGATCCTTTATAGTAGTGTATTTTTCCTCTAATGATAACTGAGCCTTCTGTAGTACATCTCTCAATTCCTGGAGTTGTCTTAAAGTACTTTTTAATTCTCCATGAGCATTTTGTAGTTCAGTCTCAAGTGCTTCCCGTTTTTGCAAGGCTTCTGTTAGTTCAGTTTCAGTACTGTGCTGTAACTTTTCTAACTCCTTTACTATTAAGAGGAGAGAATAATGTTATAACTACATATAAACCGTTTCTTATTATAAACTTTGTATATAATTAAGAATATTCCATTTTATTCATCTGTGAGAGGCAAAATACCACTTATCGTCCCTTCCAGCCCCACCATCTCAAATTCTCACACTATTTCACTTCGTTAAATACAAATACATAGGCAGCTAAACTAATCTAACCACTTGCTTACCAGCATTTGTTTTCTTTTCTAGCTCTGTCTTTGTCTGATCTAAGATCATATCTAATTGAGAGAGGTGCATTGCTTTATTTTCTCCATCTCGTTTGAGGTGCATTATTTCCTTTTCCATTTTAGACAGCTCTTCTTTGTACTGATCCATCTCAAGCTTTACTTGCCTAATTAAAAACAAATAATAAAACAGGTAATTTAGAAACTTAACCAACTAACTTGTCTCTAACTTAAAAAAGCCTGCAAATTATATAAGGACAAATATCAGCAAAATATCTAGTCAGAATTTTAAATCACCTGTTTTTAAAAATTCTCCAACTAAAAACTATCCCTTTACATATTACATACCACTAAATACAACTTTACTACTACCTGGTAATATTTAACAAGCCTAGCATTCTTTTCACTCTAACTACATTTAACTTTAGCCTTGCATGTATTGAAAATATCCAAGGACCTCATTCATCTATAATTTTTGTTATTAGCAACAAAGAAAATAAATAAGTCAAACAATCAAATTATTCATCATAAAAACCATACTACTCACTGGAGAGCCACGTCAGTTGTTTTTACTCAGTTTTATTATTAGTTCTATCCTTTTTTTAGCTTTAAAAGGGACTACAGATTCCTAGACCAGTGCAACTTCCCTGCTTTACAGAGGAGGAAACTGAAGACTAAGTGAGTTGTCTGAGATGTAATACGACTAGCTGTTAATAGTGATAGTGCCAGGTTTACTAACTTGGTCAGTCCTGAGCTTATTCTAATATGGCAGCTCCTCTACAGACAAATCAACATACTAAGAGCCAGTTTTATGTCCCTTTGTTGGTAATTCTAAAGTGATATTCACTAATTAAACAATTGTTAATGTTACCCTCAATGGTAGGAAGAGTTCATGTTCCTTTGTATCCACACTGTTTCTGTTGTTTAATCTTTGAAATTTCTAAATTGAGTTTGCGAGTAGGAGCATTTCGCTTCTAAATAAAACTTCAACAAATTTGGATGTGTTCAAGAGTTTTTTAATCGGAAGTCCTTAAGTTTTTTAAACTTAAGGAAAACTATAAAACCCCTGAAACAGTATGCAAAATTATACATGTATAATGTACATGTGTATATCTATGTATAGAAGACAAGCTAAAGTTTTTTACCAGATCCTCAAATATGTCCACAGACCAACTAACTTAAGAACTACTAGATTAGATGAATGCTAATGACATTTTTACATTTCTAAAATCCCAAGTAAACAATTTTTAGCTTGACCAATTAGCTCTAATATTGAAGTAGATATAAAACAGATAATTAGAAAAGCACAAAGGAACCCTGTCAATAGAGGAGAGGGAACCTGGGGACTTGTGGTTTTAGTTCCGGTGCATAAGTTCACTCTTGACTCCTGCTGGTAGAAGGGTGAGCTGATTATATTATAAATTATGTCAATTCTCCCAACAAAGTAGATCTGAAGAGGCTGGGTACTGCTTTCAGCTCATGGGTTCCTTTCTTGACCAATTAAATACTGATGCCTGGGACCAGCCTAGCAAAATTAAATCAGAATCTTTAGGTTTTATTTAATCTAAAGGTGGGACCCAGGCATCAGTGTTTTTTTTACAAGCTCTTGAGGTGATTTTAATAATCACTCAAGGCTGAGAACCACTTTTATATTGTCACTTTTCCTCTATATAATTGGATCGCCTGAAAGTTTCCTCTATGTGAGTACATTTACATTTTTGCCTACAACTTTTAATGTTATTCACAATTAACAGTTGCTGGGTGCCTATGAGGTATAAGGAATTGTGCCAATTGTTGTGTAAGACCCTAAAATAAACCAGATATGATCCTTATCTTAAGAAACTTATAATATAGTAGGAAGGTTAAAAATATTAAACTGTAATGCAGAAAAAGGCATAATGAAAGATATGAAGGAAATACAAACAAAATGCAACAGGAACACAGACTATGGAGACATTAATTGCTCAAGCAAATGCTCCACTGAACATTATCTGATTTTGAAACTCAGATACCACTGATATTGAAGTAGGAAGGTAAATAAAACATATTCATATTTTACCTGGCAGTGCTAGTAAGCTCAATCACTTTTTGCCTTTTCAAATCTGCTTCATGTGCAGCTGATTCACATTTCTCCTCCATTTTTCTCAACTTTTCAGCTGAACTTTCCCTTTGTTTTTGAAGTTCTTGTTCCAGTTTTGACACCTTGTAAAGCAGTTTTCAATAAACATTTTAAATTCAGAAGAAAAATACTTTTATAAATATGTAACCTAGCTTATCAGTTTCAAGATGTATCATAAAAATCAACATATAGACCAAGAACTAATGTTTGGAAAATATAAAAAGCAAGGCTTACTTTCTAATAATAAAGATACTTCATATACGCATATATTACTATTTAGGGAAGTGGCCACATCATAACACTAAAGTGTTATAATAATTGAACAAAGTGATAGCAAATATTCTCCTTTTCATTGTCCCCATTTGAAATGTCCTTTCTTCTCTTACCAAACTGCTCCTTTCTTTTCTTTGCAAACTGGCTCATTCAATAGAGTCCTAGATTGCCACATGACCTCAAATGCTAACTTGCATTTGCTCCCATTTTAACTTGAATTTGTTCCTATTCATTTTTCCTCTATTCTACTATAATAAAGGAGATATTCTTCCTCCTATATAAGTCAAAATGCTTCATAGGTGTTCTGGATTCAATTCCTATTAATTTTTTCAGGAACTTCATACTACTATCTCCTCTTTCCAATATCTTCAATCTCTCTACGGTTTTTTTAATAGTAGCATTTAAACATGTTAAAGATTTTCCCACTGTAAAAAGCTTTTCTTCAGACCTTGACCTCCCTCTATCTACCACCCTTTATTTCCTCCCATGTATAGCCCAACTTCTCAAAGTTTTCTGTGTGTTGTATCACTGTCTCACTTCTCATTCATTCTTCAACCCATAGCCAGAGGCCATTCCACAGAAATAGGGATTACAACACCAGTGACTTTCAAGTTGCTAATTTCAATGGACATTTCCCAACCCTCATTTTACTTGACATTGATTCCAGCAGCCCATGACAGCAACATTCATTCCTTCCTCAATGAAATACTTACTTTGGCTTCCATGTATCACATCCCTCAGGGATCTGTCCAAGTCAATCTTCTTGCTTCTCATTCTATATTCTCTCCCTAGGTAATTTCAGTCACTCCATGTCTTCATGAATATTTATATGACTGTGGTCTCAAAGTTAACCTCTCAATTCTGACCTGAATATCCCCCCTGTTCTTCTAAAATCTCTCACTGAAGAACTACATATAGATTATAAACCATTAATATCTTGCCAGGTGTGGTGGTTCATGCCTCCAATCCCAGCACTTTGGGAGGCCAAGGAGGGTGGATTACTTAAGCCCAAGAGTTCGAGACCAGCCTGGGCAACATGGTGATACTCTGTCTCTACGAAAAAAAAAAAAAAAAAAAAAAGAAAAACCACACACACACACACACACACACACACACACACACACACACACACAAAATTAGCTGGGCATGGTGGTAGGACTCGGAAGGCAGAAGTGGGAAAATCACCTGAGCCCAGGGAAATTGAGGCTGCACTGTGCCGTGATCATGTCACTGCACTCCAGCCTGGATGACAAAGTAAGACCCTGTCTCAAACAAAACAAAACAAGAAAACCCCATTAATATCCACCCCTCCACCTCAAGTTCCAAGAAGAAAATTAAAACAGTACCCAGGTAAAAAGGGAAAGGAACCAAAGAAAATCCACCCACTCAATTCTTAATTAAATAAAGAAATCTAAAGATGCAAAATGGAACCTATGCATAGTGTAATATGGATGAAAGGCAGAAAAGGAACACCTAGTCAAAAATTTACTCCAAATACTGAAGAAATTTTTAGACATAAACTTCTGTAGACCTCAATGAAGCTAATGAGAACACAAAATCTTTTAAAACAAGATCACAAAGAAATAAAATCACCGAATAAAAAATACAAATGAGGCTGGGCACAGTGGCTCACGCCTGTAATCCCAGCACTTTGGGAGGCTGAGGCAGGTGAATCACGAGATCAAGACATCGAGACCATCCTGGCCAACACGGTGAAACCCCGCCTCTACTTAAAAAACAAAAATTAGCTGGGCGTGGTGGTGTGAGCCTACAGTCCCAGATACTCGGGAGGCTGAGGCAGGAGAATTGCTTGAACCTGGGAGGCAGAGGCTGCAGTGAGCCAAGATCATGCCACTGCACTCCAGCCTGGCGACAGAGCGAGACTCCGTCTCAAAAAAAGAAAAAAAGAAAAGAAAAGAAACAAATGAACTAGTAACAAAAAAACAAAAACAAAAAACAGAAGAAAACCATACAACCATTATGGAAGTGACTTAGGAACAAGAATCATAATCAATCCTGCAAGAACCAGAGTCAATGACAAAGGATGTAGGTAGTGGGAATCAAACATAGATGAGAAGAAGAAATGCTTCAGGATGAAGCTGTATAGTAGGCATAGCAAGCAGTAGGTCTAAATTTTAACAAAAGGGATGGAGAGTCACAGGAAGATGTGTCTTAAAAAAAAATACAGAGGCCGGGAGCAGTGGCTCACACCTGTAATCCCAGCACTTTGGGAGGCCCAAGCGGGTAGATCACCTGAGCTGGGAGTTTGAGACGAGTCTGACCAACATGGAGAAACCCTGTCTTTACTAAAAATACAAAATTAGCCGGGTGTGGTGGCGCATGCCTGTAATCCCAGCTACTCAGGTCACTGAGGCGGGAGAATCCCCTGAACCCGGGAGGCGGAGGTTGCAGTAAGCCGAGATCGCGCCATTGCACTCCAGCCTGGGTGACAAGAGTAAAACTGTCTCAAAAAAAAAAACAGAATACCTGCCTGATGTGTTTAAATGTAGTGAGAGGAAGATTCTTTAGTTCCACTGGACAGGCTGAGGATGACTTCAGAACAAGTAGATAAAAGACCAAAAAAATGACCAAAAAAAAGGAAAATACAGTAAGATTACAGGGGACAATCATTTTCTAATTTATATATTACTGTAAATTTGATTTCTTTTGAAAGAAAAAACAAAAATGTAAAATATCTAAAGAATTCAGATAAATTCAGTAATGAATTAAAGGAAAAAGATTAGATTCTAGTATAAAATTCTCCAGAATTCTTACATTCAAGTAATAATTTTTAATTTTAGAACTTTCAGGGGTATTTTCCCTTGGGATTTTTCTTTTAGTGCACTGCTTTGCCATTTCTTTAAGGAATATCACACACTATGTCCTGATCCAAAAAGGAAAAATTATAGGCATTCAGATTAGGTACACGAAGACAGATTGAATAAAGAAACATGAATTATAAATTGTATGGAATGGCACACATATAATCATAGTATAAGAGATGGAGGTCAGATTACATAGGAATAGAAATTTATTTTACAATATCAGTATTGAGTATTTCTTATAATGCAAAATCTTTGAGGTTAAACAGCAATTTTTTTTTTGAGGCAGAGTCTCATTGTCTCTCAGGCTGGAGTGCAGTGGCACAATCGCAGCTCACCGCAACCTCTGCCTCTTGGGTTCAAGTGATTCTTGTGTCTCAGCCTCCTGAGTAGCTGGGGTTACAGACATGTGCCACAACGCCTGGCTAAGTTTTGTAATTTTAGTAGAGACGAGGTTGGGCCATGTTGGCCAGGCTGGTCTCGAACTCCTGACCTCAGGTGATCCGCCTGCCTCAGCCTCCCAAAGTGCTGGAATTATGGGCATGAACCACAGCATCTGGCCAAACAGCAGTTTAAAAAACTAACCAAAAATGTATTCATGATTTTAAAAATTTCTATTTCATACAAATGAAACAATCTTGGGCTAATAATATATACCTGTTTTTCAAGTTTAGTTTGAGTATCTTCCAGCTCTCCATTTCTAATTGTCTCTTGTTGTAACATTTGCTGCTGTTGCTGAAGAGTATGCTGTAGAATAATGTTTTGCTCAGAAGTCTCTTGAAGACTGTGATCTTTTATTTTTAGCTCTTTCTGTAAACAATATACCTGGCAAATATATATATATCTCAATACAATGCAGTGTTTCAAATAAAAGGCAATAAAACATCAAAGTTGTCCTCCTTATTAGATAACCATCTACCTGTCATGTGGGACAATTGTATTCATGTCTATAGTTTGTCACTGGAAGGGCAGTCTTCATTTTTCTGATGGGGAGATGTATTGGAAGGGCCTGCTTATAGGATTGCTCTTGGTTAGTGTCTGGAAATGTGGCTTTAAAAATGTTCCTAAGTGATGAGGTTGTTTTGCCTGGCTGGGGCACTGAAACATGCCTTCCTTTAGAATTCTGGAATTTTTGATACTTGTAGGCTGGTCATCATTCCCGTGTGACAACCCTCCAATAAAAACCCTGAACTTTGAGTCATAAATAGGCTTCCCTAGGCAGAAACAGATGTTGCCACATTTCACTGCTATAAAAAGGAGCATGTTCTGTTTGACCTCTCCCAGAAGGAGAGCCATGGTTTTATCTGCACTTCACCTGATTCTTTCACCCTTACTAATAATAAACTATAGCCATAAAAGCTCTATATAATGTTTGGTGCTATTTATTGTTACTGTTGCTATTATTGCTGTTGTTTATACAATAATATCCCAGCAAAACACTGCTGAATATTTATGTTACAAAAAAACACATAAAGGAATGACAATAACAACTAAGAAATTTGACTAATTACTCTAAATATTTAGGACTTGAATAGATGGTCTCCAAAACTGCTTTAAGATACTTTTATCCAAGAGCATCTATTAAGAAGAAAAATAAATGCCCTTTGTCCTAGTAATAAAAATTCTAAAAATATGCCAGCAGAAATTATTTTTAAAATACTATCAACAATGAAACATAATTTAAAATATATTTTACAATATTCTTCATCTTTTACCAAAGTGAATGGAAGAATAAGTGATGATTGTCAATGCGATTAAAAATGACACAACCATTTCAAATAATTAAAAAGACAGCTAACACACAAAAATTTATAAAGTTAAAAAATCACATTTCATTAATATAATTTTGAAAAATATACATGCAAATAGAAAAATGAAAACTGAAGTATTAGAGAATGGGCTGTAGGTAAATGTTCTTTAAGTTTTCTTGTTGTTGCTTATGTAATAAATTTTTTAAATGAAGGAAAATAAAACCATTCCTTTAAAGCAAAGAATCTTTCCAGTAAATATCATCCCAAAAGGAATTTTAAACTCCTTATAGTAAATTGTGGAAGAGAATCATGACTTGCTTCTTTTTTCTAACTATCCAGCAGGTGAACATTAAGGCCTTCAGGGCCGAATATTCTTTGCTCATTATGAGAAGCTCCTAGATTTCAGATTTCTTCATTATATGATGATGTTGTAAACTGGAAGTAACCCTGGATATCATAGGCAACTAATTGATCTCTAATCCTGTTATTATAATCCCTTTTCATGCAAATCTGTTTTGTTTAATTCTGTCTGCATGAAAATAATTTAGTGTAAATATGTGTCAGATCACCTGTTTTGTTTTCTCTCTTAGCTCCTGACAAAACCTGCAGATCACACTTCTGCATTGGTTTATTTTATATAGAACTGACTCGCTTGCAAGACAGGCTTAAATACTGTTTTTTCCTTTATTGGAACATCCTGTCTCATACTTACCTATTCAGAGAAAAAAAAGGACAAAATATTAAAATAAGACAAAACAAGAAAAAAATAAGATCTAACCAAAACACAAAGCCTTACCACATAATAACAACAAAATTTTATTTCAGTAATCCAGTCACTGACATTTCAATTACATATATTGAAATATCTAATATTAGTTATCACAAATATTTACAAAATATAACCTATATCTATCAAACTTATACTGACATTTCATTGTACCGACCTTTAACTTCCAGTTGGCTTTGGGTTTTGTGTTTTTTTTGTTTTTTTGTGTTTTTTTGAGACGTAGTCTCGCTTTGCTGCCCAGGCTGGAGTGCAGTGGTGCGATCTCGGCTCACTGCAAGCTCCGCCTCTCGGGTTCACGCCATTCTCCTGCCTCAGCCTCCTGAGTAGCTGGGCCTACAGGAGCCCGCCACCACGCCCGGCTAATTTTTTTTTTTTCTATTTTTAGTAGAGACGGGGTTTACTGTGTTAGGTCTCCTGACCTCGTGATCTGCCCGCCTCGGCCTCCCAAAGTGCTGGGATTACAGGCGTGAGCCACCGAGCCCGGTCAGTTGGCTTCAGTTTAAAAGTAAATATAGAATGAATTGTTTTTATGTTGTATTTTCTACTAATGTATTATTCCCAGAGTACTTAATATTTTATAATTGAAGTAAATAAGAAAGTAGAATTTAAATGATAAAATCTACCTTACACTTAACTTTATCTAGTATTACTATGTACCCAAAGCAGAAACAGTCTCATAATTGTTGCTTAAAAATAAAATATAACGCAGAAACATATGATGCCAACTTCTCAAAATCTAAGTCCATCTATTTAAATGAAGATATTTATCAATGAAATGACTGATTTTATTGAATAAAATCTTCATGCAGAAAACATTTAGGCTTATTCATAATTTTATGCAAAATAAAATTTTTTTACTTTCTTTTATTATGTTGACAATGTAATTTTGCATGAACACGTAACTTGATTATTTTAAAAGCATTGTTAAAAACATTTTAATATGAAGTTAAATATCTTCCAAAAATTCAGAACTCCAAAGTATTATTTTCATCATAATCATATTTATTTCAACATCCAGAAAAGAATACGTGGCTGAGGCAAAAGCGCAGAGGAATATACATTAGCTTTTTGCTATGGGTAATCAACATGTAGTTTTTACAAGTGGCTAAATTTCTACCAATATGCCCTAGGGCCACTTAATTATTCAGCGAGTTATATGATTGGGGCATATTCCCTGATTTAAAAGATAAGAACATCTTTATAATATCACCTATTATTAACAGAATAGATGCACTATTACTCAAATCTGGTTTTCTAAAATGCAGCTATATATGATGAAAACTTCACAACTCTGCTGTTACAAGGTGTTAATTATATTAACCAACACTAGAAAGAATTTTCTCTGTAAGACATAATTTGCTGTAAAGGTAAATAAGTCAACAGTTAGTACTCGGATTCTTCTCCATGTTTTTTATCAATACACATGAGCATGTGACAGATGAACTTTTAAGTTAGCAAGCCAATGCATGTGCAGTTGAGCTAACGACTGAGCGGTAATAAATGAGTTTGCAAATCTTTCTAATTTACTTACTCCCTAGTCTGGTCAAATATACCTGATTACCACTTCTGGTTTCTAATTCAGTTTGAGCCTAGGTATGTATTTCCAGCTGTTCTAAAAATCATTCTAAATGAGCCAGGTGTGGTGGCACATGCCTGTAATCCCAGCTGCTGAGAAGGCTGAGGCAGGAGAACTGCTTGAACCTGGGAGGCAGAGATTGCAATGAACTGAGATTGCACCATTGCACTCCAGCCTAGGCGACAAAGCAAGACCCTGTCTCAAAAAAAGAAAAAAAAAAATCGTTCTATTTATTTTGTGTGTAAATATCTGTTATCTACCCTAGTCTCTGATGTTGTTTCTATGAACGCAAAGTCTAAAGCTCAACGAATTCTCCTATTACAAATGCTGCCTACCTCCAGGTAGATTCCATCTCTGCCAAGTCTGTTTATTCTGAAGCAGAGTGTGGGCATGAGCAGTAGAATAAATGCCAAAATAATGTATTTTGTATACTACTTTAAAGAAGATCATAGTAAAAAAAAGGACATTCTTATTTTTAAAAATCCAAATACATACAGTTTAGATGATTTAGTTTCTACATATTGGAGTAGAAAAATATATGCCTGTCAAAGATGCTATAAAAACCTTCATAAAGGAAGGTAGAGGGAAGAAGGCATGACCATATAAAATCTGAAAGTTGTTGTTGTTTTTTTTAAACTTCTAAGGCTATATAATTACTTGATGCACCTAACTCTGGAGTGCTGGTCAACTACATTATTTACTCTTAGATCTACCCATGCCTTTCCCCTGCTCTGCTCTGTATATTGTAGGAAACCACATTTCTTGGCCTCCTTTGCCCTCTAGATTACAAATAGGTTTAGCCAATGGGAATGGTCAGTAGCTGCAGTGCTCCTCCTCTATTGCCCCAGTTCCTATTGGACAGACGCTTTTTCTTCGGCCCCAGCTCCAGACAGGCAGCCCTGCTTCTAGACTATGATCATACTATCTTTTCCTGATGTTCCTCTAACCTTAACAATGGTAGTGGGTCCCTGCTTATAATCTCTGAGTCGCTGTGGTATACTGTTTGGCTTCTCTACCCTTTCATCACCTGTGTGTCTAATTCTCTGTATAAATTTGCTCTATTTAAAAGATATAAAGGCTTCTGTTTTTCTCATTGGACCTTTCTGATATATTCAAGTCAATCTTGATTAATATGTAAATATAAATATATATATATATATATACATATATATACACATATATATTTTTTGAGATCGGGTCTCACTGTGCTGCCAGGCTGGAGTACAGTGGTGTGATCACGGCTCACTGCAGCCTTGACCTCCTAGACTCAAGTGATCCTCCCACCTCAGCTTCCTGAGTAGCTGGGACCACGGGTATGCACCACCACACTTGGCTAATGTTTTCCATTTTTTTGTAGAGATGGGGTTTTGCCCCATGTTGCCCAGGCTTGTCTTGAACTCCCGGCCTCCCAAAGTGCTGAGCTTATAGGCGTAAGCAACAATGAGTGGCCAAAAGTCAACCTTGATTAAAATTCATTGGGAACCATTTCTAAAAATAAATTTTTAAATTTTTAGTATTATTATTATTTTTTTGGAGACGGAGTCTCGCCCTGTTGCCAGGCTGGAGTGCAGTGGTGCGATCTCGGCTCATTGCAAGCTCCACCTCCTGAGTTCACACCATTCTCCTGCCTCAGCCTCCCCAAGTAGCTGCGACTACAGGTGCGTGCCACCATGCCCGGCTAATTGTTTGTATTTTTAGTAGAGACGGGGTTTCACCGTGTTAGCCAGGATGGTCTCGATCTCCTGACCTTGTGATCCGCCCACCTCAGCCTCCCAAACTGCTGGGATTACAGGTGTGAGCCACCGCACCTGGCCTCTAAAAATAAATTTTAAGCTTAAAGTACATATATTATAAATTCTAACAAATAAATTCTTTATTATGATTATCCATTTGAGCAAATGTTTAGTGAGTGCCTAACCAAAGTAAAGTGCTACAAATTGAACATACAGAGATGAGTAAGATGTTCAAGAAAAGTTTCCAAGGCTGGGTGTGGTGGCTCACGCCTGTAATCCCAGCACTTTGGGAGGCCGAGGTGGGCGGATTGCCTGAGCTCAGGAGTTCATGACCACCCTGGGCAACACGGTGAAACCCTATCTCTACAAAAAAGAAAAAAAAATACAAAAAAATAGCTGGGCATGGCAGCGTGCGCCTATTGTCCCAGCTGCTCAGGAGACTGAGCAAGAGAATTGCTTGAACCCAGGAGGCGGAGGTTGCAGTGAGCCGAGCCTGGGTGACAGAGAGAGACTCCATCTCAAAAAAAAAAGGTTTCCAATCCAGTATCTGAGAAACTTATCTCAAAAAAGTTGAAATTCTAAAGTTAATTCTCAGTCCTACAGACAACAAGAACAAAAACAAAATGAAAAATTCTTGAAGAATTTTAAACCTCTAAATCTAAAACAATGTTCAAGGTGTCATGTAATTTTATATTAGAATGACTGTAATATTAATAATTTATTCTTCTGATTCTCTAAAAATAAATAAAAGAATCAGAATTTTAAGGTATATTTTATTTTGCATTGAAATAATGTTTGCTCCTTAAAGAAAATTGGAATTTACATTTTATTGGAAATACTTTTTTATATCAGATACATAAAGATATTCTTTTGGCCAGGCACGGTGGCTTACACCTGTAATCCCAACACTTTGGGAGGCTGAGGTGGGTGGATTACTTGAGGCCAGGAGTTCAAGGCCAGCCTGGCCAACACAGTGAAATTCTGTCTCTACTAAAAATACAAAAATTAGCCAGGCGTGGTAGTGCATACCTGTAATCCTAGCTACACAGGAGGCTAAGGCACAAGAATTGCTTGAACCCAGGAGGCAGAGGTTCAAGTGAGCCAAGATTGTGACACTGTACTCCAGCCTGGACGACACAGGGAGACGCCGTCTCGAAAGAAAGAGAGAAAGAAAGATATATATATATTTTTTTTTTTTTGTCCTACATCTCATGCGTCTTAAAAAAAAAATCACTTGAAATATACGCTATATATAAAGTAAATGTTAATTTACCTCTTCAGATTTCTTCTTTAACTGTTTTTCAAACTTTTCCTTATTTCCTTCCAATTGATTCAAATGCAAGACAAGTTCTTCCTTACAAATTTCTAATGCTGAATCTAGTTGCCTAACCTAAGCAGGAAAAAAAGAAAAACACTGATATACTCAATATTTTACAGATTTATCTCCTAACGTTACCTCAGTGCTTCAAATAGTGAATATACAGTCCTACTTAGGACATAAAATGCCATTATAGAAGATATTTATTGAGTAAACTAATTCTTCATTGCAAATGAGGAAACCAAATAGAAAACCGAGGGATGGAATCCTGAAAAATAAATAAAGAGTTGGACAAGTTTAGAAGGGCATTCCAGGAAAAGGGAGTATGCTCAGAAGCAAGGCCCTGTGAAAGGGAGTGGTGAGAAGTTGGCAAGAGCCTAGGGTAATAAGAAGATTAATTTGTAGGAAATCGTTATTTGGGAGCCACAATTGACAAGAAAAACTGGGGCCAACTGTCAAGAATCTGTAGGCCAAACACCTTAAAACCTTCTCTTTAAAAGGTAAGTGGTATTTAAATCTACTTCTTAAGCCTCCTTGAATAAGAAAAATAGGAAAATGAGTACAAACTAGCGTACTGTTAACAATGTTCAAGTGAGTTTTTTTTTTTTGAGACAAAGTCTTGCTCTGTAGCCGAGGCTGGAGTGCAGTGGTGCAATCTTGGCTCAATGCAACCTCCATCTCCCAGGTTCAAGCAATTCTCCTGCTTCAGCCTCCTGAGTAGCTGGAATTACAGGTATGCACCACCACGCCTTGCTGATTTTTGTATTTTTAGTAGAGAGTAGGTTTTGCCATGTTGGCCAGACTGGTCTTAAACTCCTGACCTCAGGTGATCCACCCACCTTGGCCTCCCAAAGTGCTGAGATTACAGGTGTGAGCCACCTTGCCTGGCCTTAATGAGAATATTTTGAAATGCTGAAGTTACTAAGAAATTATAATTTGTCAGCTAGGAAAAAAGAAGTGAAACCTTCTTTGCTTTGAAACAGTGAAAATATTTTCAGAAAGGCAGCAATTTAACTTGGTCCAAGTGTTCATATAGTTGCCACTGCTTTACTACCTTAATACCAAAGAGCAACTCAAATTCGGTACTTTTAGTTCAAGGCCCATGTATTGCATACATGCTCCACATCCCAGCTATTAATAAGATTCTTGCCTTACTCCTTGTTTTCTTTATTGTAAATTTGAGCTTCTCAATGGTATTCTTCCTCTTAATGCTAATAATGTTATAGCAAGCAGTCTTGAAAAAGTGAAAGAAACTTAGATTTCTTAGCAGATGAAAAAATGAGAAAAAACTATCCCTCTTGCAGATTCTATTCTACATCATGAAATTATCTTTGCCACTCTTATTTCTAAAAAGGGAATCTTATAAGAGTTTTTGAACACCACCCTTATAGTCTGTGTATGAAACCATTAACAGCTAAAAAATCTGTAATTCTGAATGACTATCTTTGTTAATAAACTGCTGCCTTAGTAATAATTTTTAACTAATATTTGTTTTATGAAACTTATAAATACATTTTCTTTTTTATGAAAGAGAATGGGCATTGGGACTTGTATCATCCTTCACACAGAGAAAAAATAAATAAAATCTATGATTCTGTCAGAATATCACTACCTAATAGTTAACAGTGTAACAACTCATTCGGGCAAGATTCATCATTAGATATGAAAGCCATTGATTGTAAGATTATTGAGGAACAGGACATTCACACAGTCCCCAAGACCCTCAAAGACTCCAAAGTTTGTTTGCTAATTATCAATGAAATATACACCCTTAAAATAATGAGATCTGACAGTCATCACCTTAGATAAGGTATATAATCCTGAGAGTGTCTCCTTAAATTTTGTGTCATCATACTTGATTCACTTTAGTCCCAGGTCTGGGGCATGGCTAGATACTCTTCAAATGTAACAAGCTTCCAGGTGATGCTGATGCTGCTAGTTCACAGACCATGCTTTGAGTAGCAAGGCTATAAAGGACAATTTTAAGTAATTGGGGAAATCTTAGTATGCACAGTGTTGAATGATATTACTGAATTAATGTTGACTTTCTCTGTAGCATAGTGGTGGTGTGGTCACGCAGGAGAAATTCTCTGTTCACAGGAGATGCATGTTAAATATTAAAGGGGTAAAGTATTATGATATCCGTAACCTTCTCTCAGGCTGTCTGGCAAAAGGGAGGTGGGTTGGTAGGGACACACACAAGCATGCATGCATGTGCATGTGTAGAGAGAGATAAAGTGAGTGTACCTAGAGTTTAACAGAGTTTAACAGAGAGTGAATCTAGGTGAGGAGTACACTATTGTTTCAATTTTTTTGTGGGCCTGAAATTTTAAAAAATAAATTAAGAATCAATTATAGCTAATAAACAATTAATAAAAACCCAAAACATCCACTACTCTATTGAATTTCTTATTTGAACAGAGTTTGAAAGTCTGAATCTCATACAGATAAACATCTTGCATTGTATACAAACCACTTGCAAATGTGTGTGTATGTTTGTATAAATAAATGAAATCAAAACAAAAACAAACACCACTCTGCTAAACCAAAGAAGCTCCTCAGGTGCACAGTCTGGAGACAACCAGATAGGGCTCTAGGCTATGCATTTTCAAAAAAAGAAGGTAAGCTCTTCTTGTAAGACTTTCTTTGTGGGAGTTTTGGGGAATCCAAAGTAGAAAATAAAAGGAAAACAAAACAAAAGAAATAAAATCTGTAAATCAAATAAGCACCTTTTCAATTTTCTATTTAACAGCAGGTAACAACTGGTTTACTTTACTGATTTCTTGTTACTAGTTCAGAATTTTATCATCAACCTGTTAGCTTAAGTGATACAACTTTAAACTGATCCTTATAACTCTCCTATAGATAAAAAAAATTCATGTTTCTTTTGCAGAGAACAAGTTGAAACATGTTGAAAGACATGAACAAAAGTCATGAAAGGAAGGTAGTAATGATGTAATCAGGAGGACAGAAGTAGACTTCAGGCTTCTATTTTGCTGCTATAGATAACTTATGTGTAGAATCAGTCGATATAGCTTAAATCATAGGAATTTGACTTCTATATTTCTTCCTCATTTTGATTTTTCCCTAAACAGCAAACCTACTAAAGATGTTAAACGAATAAAATCCAACATCATTATTCATTCTTTTGCTGATTTCTTTTTCATCTCATCTGGCTATTAACATATGGAAATACCTTACCAGATGACTGCCTAGTTATATTAGGTAGTTTAATGAAAAGCAGGAGTTAAGTGGCTACATGAGTTTTACCTAATAAAAGTATTTCATGCCTACAATCTCTGTACAGTAATCATTTTTTAATATTAATGAAATTTGGGGCTATTCTAACACAGGGAAATGAACTGACTGCATTAAATGTTAAGAGTTTTGGTGGATACTACAGGAATAGTTATGAATAAACATATGTCTATATGGGCATACACAGTCACAAAATGAATTCAAAACAGAATAGTAGGCAAAATATAACATCGTATCTTTAAAACAAATCTTTTATATTCAAGCTACATGTGACAGAATAAAGGTCATAGCATATTCGGACCTATGTTTAACACCAAAAATGCAAAAGAGAAAATATTAAATACATAGCAATTAGTTACAAAACTTTGGGCAACTCAGCATATGCTAAGCACCTTATATACCCTGTTATATTTAATTCTCACACTAATGCTCTTCTAGGGTATTGTCATTCCTATTTTGCGGATGGAGAAATTAAAATTCAAAGAGTTAAATAACCTGGCTAAGGTTACAGTGAGTCGGTAAGCACTTGAAGCCACACTGAAACCCAATTTAACAGCAAAGCCCATGTTTTTAACCATGAAGATATACTAGCCAGAAAGCCATATTTTAGCTAGAAATTCTGGCTTTATCTCAATTAATCTTACAAGCCAACAGGTAAAATAAAGCAAAATTGAATCACTTTTAGTTTTCTCTTCCTACACTTCCTCTGGTAATTTTTTTTTTGGAGGGGGCGTAATGCTAATAAGTAGCAATTATAGCTAAAATTTAAAACAATTTTTAGGGTTATAAAAATTGTTTTAAGACAAAAAGAGGCTAGATAACCTACGAACTAGATGATTAACTATCAAGTAATCAAGATCAGAATTTGCACTAAAGAAAATACATTTAAAGAAACTAAGTTCATTGAGTCAGGTCAAATCTTCAGCTCTGAATTGCCTTTTATCTATAAAATGTTTACAATCTATAGAGAAACGTAAAAAAGCCACAAGAATGTCTCCAAAAAGAAAAAAATAATCAGCCAGGCACGTTGGAGCACACTCGTCCTAGCTACTCAGGAGGCGGGTGTGGGAGGATGACTTGAGTTCAGGAGTTCAAGGCTGCACTGAGTTATCATCATGCCACTACACTCCGGCCTAGGCAAATGACAGAGATTCTGCTAAAAAAAGAAAAAAAAGGAAAGAAAGAAAAATAAAGTATTAGCATACTAGCCTTGATTGTTTCTTCAGATACTTGGTTCTGTAATGCTTTTAAAGCTTCATCTTTCTTCATATTTTCCTTTTCCATTTCCTAAAAACAGTAAGAAAAGTATGCAAATAAACATTTTAGCATTAGTAACAGCCTGTTAACTGATTTGATTAGATTTAAAGGCAAGTTATAGACATAAAATATTAGTCAACTTCTAAATAGTACTTTTATAAGGATGATTTTACCCCTTTGCTTTCCGTCAAGAGTCTATCTAGTGATTCAAGATGATGCTGTTTGCATATTATATCTTGTTGCAACATGGACATAGTCTTTTCTTGTTCTTTAAATTGTTGATCCTTTTTCTCTAGTTGAGCTTCAAGCTAAACACGAAAACACAATTTTCACATTAAATATTGTAAAATTTAGAAACATTTTAAATATTAAATACATGTGAAACTATAATTGAAATTACATAGATTTTTGTATTTTGCCAAATTGTCTTCAGCTTCTCTCTTTTTAAGGAAGAAATGAAATCACTTGCCATGAATAGACACTTCTCAAAAGAAGACATACATGTGGACAACAAACATACGAAAAAAAAAGCTCAACATTGCTGATCGTTCAAGAAATGCAAATTGAAACCACAATGAGACACCATCTCATGCCAGTCAGATTGGCAATGATTCAAAAGTCAAAAAACAAACAGATGCTGGAGAGGTTGCAGAGAAAAGGAACACTTTTACACTGCTGATGGGAGTGTAAATTAGTTCTACCACTGTGGAAGGCGGTGTGGCATTTCCTCAAAGACCTAGAGGCAGAAATACAATTTGACCCAGCAATCCCATTACTGGGTATATACCCACAGGAATGTAAATCATTCTATTATAAAGATACATGCATATGTATGTTCATTGCAGCACTATTCACAATAGAAAAGACATGGAATCAACCTAAATGCCCACCAGTGATAGACTGGATAAAGAAAATGTGGTACATATATACTATGGAATACTATGCAGCCATAAAAACGAATGAGATCATTTCCTTTACAGGGACACGGATGGAGTTGGAAGCCATTATCCTCAGCAAACTAACACAGGAACAGAAAACCAAATACTGCATGTTCTCACTTACAAGTGGGAGCTGAATGATGAGAACACACAAACACATGGGTAGGAACAACACATATTGAGGCCCTATAGGAGAGTGGGATGGGAGACAGGGAGCATCAGGAAGAATAGCTAATGGATGCTGGGCTCAATACCTAAGTGACGGGATGATCTGTGCAGCAAACCACTAGGGGACATGTTTACCTGTATAACAAACCTGCACCTCCTATACGTGCACCCCTGAACTTAAAGGCTGAAGAAAAAAAAGCAAAATGTAGAAACTAAGAATATAGGCCCCTTTATATCTCCCCCTTTACACTGTAGTTGTCACATGTATTATATCAACATACCTGATCAGTAAATGTTATAATTTCTTCTTTCAACAGCCATAGATATTATAAAAATCCTATATTTACCAAATATTTACTGTTTTCATTGTTCTTCCTTTATTCCTGAGGTCCCAAGTTTCTCTCAGGTATTTTTTTTCTGTGAGGAACTTTCTTTAGCATTTATTTTAGAACAAGTCTGCTGGTGACACATTCTCTATGCTGTCCTTATCTAAGAATGTCTTTATGTTACCTTCATTCCCAGAGAATATTTTTGCTGGATATAAAATAAATTGACAGTTTTTTCTCTTTCAGCATTTAAAAAAATGTTGTTCTGTCTTCTTACGTCCATAGTTTTTGATGAGAAATCTGCAGTAATTTTAACATTTGTTCCCTTACATGCAGTGTCATTTATCTCTGGGTGCTTTCAAAGTTTTCTGTTTTAGTTTTTGGCAAGGATTTTGATGTGTCTAGAAGTAGTTTTCTTTGACACTATCCTCTTTGATTTTCTTAAATTTGTAAATTTATTTCCTTCATCAAATTTGTGAAGTTTTCAGACACTATTCCTTCAAATATTTTCCTGCACTAATCTCATTCTCTCCTTTGACTCTGAAGACAAGAATATCAGACCTTCTGATAGGTCCTTCCCCATATATCCCTGAGGCTTTGTTCAATTTTTTTTATAAATCTTTCTTTTCTTGGAAAAAAAATTTTTTTCTCTGATGCTCAGACTGAATAATATCTATTAATCTACATTCAGGTTCACTGTCTTTTTCCTCTTGTCTGCTCCATTCTTCTGTTAAGCTCATCTAAATTACAGCAGCCCTGTGGTATTCGTGGTTTCACTTTCCACAGTTCAGTTACCTGCAGTCAACCCTGATCTGAAAATACTAAATGGAAAATTCCACAAACAAACAATTGATACATTTTGAATTGCAGTTGTGAGTAGTGTGATGAAATCTCATGATGTCCCACTATGTCCAGCTCTGGACAAGAATGATCCATTTTCCATGCTGTATAAGCTACCTGCTCGTTAGTCACTTAGTAGCCATCTTGGTTATCAGATCAACTGCCATGGTATCATAATGCCTGTGTTCAAGGAACTCTTATTTTACTTAATAATGGCCCCAAAGCAAAAGAGTAGTGATGCTATCTGGATGCAGATCCAATTTGGATATGTCAAAGAGAAGACATAGCGTGCTTCCTTTAAGTGAAAAGGTGAAGGTTCTTAACTTAATAAGGAGACCAAAAAAAAAATGCATGCTGAGGTTGCTAAGATCTATAATAAAGAACAAATCTATCCATGAAATCGTGAAGAAAGAAAAATAAATTCATGTGAGTAGGGCAGTTGGACCTCAAACTACAAAAGTTACAACCACAATGTATAAGTGCTTAGTTAAAATAGAAAAGGCATTAAATTTGTAAGTGGAAGGCATTAACAGAAAACATGTTCCAACTGACCGCAATGTGTTGCACCAGAAAGTACTGAGTATATATTAAGACTTCAGCAAGAATCCCCTGAAACAAGTGACACCAAGTCATTTATTGCAAATAAGGAATAATTACACAGATTCAAGAATAGGTTTAGACTGAAAAATGTTAAAATTACTGGAGAAGCTGTGTCTGCTGATGAAGCAGTTGCTGTCACATTTCCAGCAGAGATGAAGAAGCTGATTAAGGAGAAAGGATACCATCCAAAGCAAGTCTTCAATTGCAGCGAAACTAGGCTATTCTCAAAGAAGATGCCTCATAGAACCTACATTCACAAAAGTGCAAAGGAGGCTGAGCACAGTGGCTCACGCCTGTAGTCCCAGCACGTTAAGAGGCTGAGCCAGGCAGATCACGAGGTCAGAAGTTTGACATCAGCCTGACCAACATGGTGAAACCCTGTATCTACTAAACATACAAAAATTAGCCAGGATTGGTAGCGTGCACCTGTAATCCCAGCTACTCAGGAGGCTGAGGCAGGAGAATCACTTGAACCCAGGAGGCGGAGGTTGCAGTGAGCCAAGATCACGCCACTGCACTCCAGCCTGGCCTACAGAGCAAAACTCTGTCTCAAAAGAAAAAAAAACTCTGTCTCAAAAGAAAAAAAAAAAAAAAGTGCAAAGGAAGCACTAGGGCATAAGAGAGAGAACACACTTCTATGAGAACAAGTTTTCATATAACTTTTATGACAGTATTTTGTTATAATAGTTCGATTTTATTAGAATCGTTGCTAATCTCTCACTGTGCCTAATTTATAAATTAAGCTTTATAATAGATATGTATGTATAGGAAAAACTGTAAGGGTTCAGTACTATTTGTGGTTTCAGGCATCCACTGAAGGTCTTGGAATGTCTCTCCCATGGATAAGCAGGGACTACCGTATCTATTTTTTTTACTGCGTCTTGCATTTTTGGTCTCACATTTTCTTTTCTACTTTTAACCCAAGGTCAAGAGTGCTTCTATTATTCTGCTTTTTCCTCTCAATCAATCTTTAAGCAACTGATATTTTTAGGGAAATGGAGTCTACAGAATTACTTTAATAATGTCAAAAATAATGATTATAGCTGAAACAGAAGGCATACTATATTCTGTTAAAGTAGTGAAAAATTATTCAGAAAGATTGGGGTTCTAATTACAGCTCTTGCCACTAACTTTTGTGTCTCTTTGTGTCCTCATCTACAAAATAAAAAATGCTGGGGCTAGTAATGTTTCTTTTCAGCACTCATATTCTAAATATGTATTACTTACTCTTTCAATCTGCTTTTCCATTTCTTTATGCTGTTCCAAGTGAATTTTCTTTGCTTTTTCAAAGGCTAAACAAATTTTCTCATGCTCTGTATTAATATTGGTTTCTAGACTCCTTATCTTTTCATTCTTTTCCTAGAAACACAAAACACTTTAAAAGAGTATAATTGATTTGGGAGGCCAAGGCAGGCAGATTGCTTGAGCCCAGGAGTTCAAGACCAGCCTGGGCAACACGGCAAGACCCCATCTCTATGAAAAATACAAAAAATTAGCTAAGTAGGTGTGTGGCATGTGCCTGTGGTTATAGCTTCTGGGGAAGCTCAGGGGGAAGCCTGGGAGGCCAAGGCTATAGTAAGCCATGATTGTGCCACTGCACTGCAGCCTGAACCACAGAGTGAGACTTTGTCTCACAAAAAAAAAAAAGTATAATTGAAAAGCAGTTTTACATAAAAGTACATTAGTCAAGCATTAAATATGTCATACTCCATTCTTTAAAGAACCACAGTAGTTTATACTTCAAACTTTAACAAAATGGTTAAAAATACTTTATCAAGATGAGAAGATTTAAACTATTTTAAATATCAAGAAGCATATCAAAGAACTACCATTATCTTCAATACCATTAGGACAAAATGAGAAAACTTGGATAACTTGCCATATAAGCCTATTAACTTAAAAATGCAAACAAGAAATGATCCGAAGAGTTTAGTAGAACTTATACTTTGCTATATATTTTATAATAATGATGTTAAAACAAATGTGCTATCACAAATTAAGTGCCTAAAAATCACAGTAAATCTGAAGCCACAAAGATAAGTTTTACCATAAGCTCCTGTTCTAGTTCTGCATTTTTTGCAGCAATAGAGGAATAAGCAACTATCTTTTCTTCCAGCTGTTTCTCAAGAGTTAAAAGTTGAGAACATTTCTTTGTCATCTGAAAATACATTGAAATAAATGTAAAATTATTTTTTAAAGGTAATGACTTTGTATCCTAAGATCAAACACCTGCTACTCTTTTCAAAGTTCAAATACATTGTGTCTAGATAAATTGCGCAAACTTACAGTTATAAACATTTAGGATGCAAAGTGAATAACTTTTTAACCAACATAATTATAAGTATTTTAAAAAATAAGTGACAATTTAGAAGAAAAACAAATAGTGAAAACAAAGGATCACTTCTATCTATCCATGTAAAACATAAGTCATTTAATTCAGACCCCTATATCCAAAAAGGACAATACCCTAATCTATTTTTAAGCAGCTGTTAAAGACTGAAATAAGTACAATAAAATGGTATCAGCAGTTATTTCTGGTGGTAGAATTATCAATGGTTCACTTTCTTCTTTTTCCTCTTTTACATTAACAAGACTGTGCTATTTTTGTAATTTAAAAAACTTATTAATCCCAGTATTTGGCAATTTCCTAAGTAAACTGGTAGCTATAATTATAAACTGTCTAAATCTCCATCTCCATTATTAACATAAGTTCCTATTTTATAGTTCTTTTCCTCAGCCTTGGCTATAGACTTTAAGCTGAGAAAGCAGGTATTTAAAAAGTGTACTTATAGATGACTGCAGCCTCTGGTTTGAAGGTAGAGTATAAGATACACCCACGTGGTCCTGGTCCACAATTACCCAATGAGGCACCCTTATCCTGTCCTTAGTGAAAATGAAGACAAGATATTCACAAAACACTCATTATCCCCTTTTCAGAATGGAATTCCTTGTGTAGTCGTTTCAGGTTTACATGCAATTGTTTAAAAATACAGATTCTTTAAACAGCAGAAATACACAAAAAATACAAATACAGACTCTGGCTAGGTGTGGTGGCTCACTCCTGTAATCCCAGCATTTTTGGATACTGAGGTGGAGATCACCTGAGACCAGGAGTTCGAGACCAGCCTGGGCAACACGGCGACTGTCTCCACAAACAAAAAATTTTAAAAATTAGCTGGACATAGTGACACATGTCTGCAGTCTCAACTACTTGGAAGATTGAGGCAGAAGAATGGCTTGAGCCCAGAAGTTCAAAGTTACAGTGAGCTATGATCTCACCACTGTACTCCAGATTGGGCAACAGAGCAAGACCCTGTCTCTAAGAAAAAAAAAAAAAGAAAAAGAAAAAGAAAAGAAAAAAGCAGACTCTTGTGCCCATATATACTGAATCAGAAATTGCAGGAACAGGACCCAGAAATATGCATATTAAACAGGCTTCCTAGGTGGTTGGGGGTTTGCTAAAATTTAAAATCTTTTATTATCACTCCTTTTCTTCCAACAGCATAATCCAAAGTCTTTACTTATAAATGTATATTAACCACATTAACTTATACTATAGAAGAAATAATAGGCTGCAATGCAATATTATTTCCACCAAATTTGAGACCTTTTACCCACTACAGAGTTTTTCCTACTTTTAATAACATAAGTTAAAATACAAAGGTTTCCAAATGTAATTTTAAAATAATTTGTAACTTATGTGGTACCATTTTTAAAAAACTTTAACTCCGGATATAAACATACAATTTTTATAAAATCCTAAAATAACACCTTTTGTTCTAGTTCAAAAATTAATATATATACACCAAGCTAATTCCAAACTTACTTCACTTTCCAGTTTGCTGGAGTTTGAAGCTTTCTCTAGCAGCTCCTCTTGAATCAGCTGAAACTGACTAGTTCTGTGAGCCATGTTAACCCTCAAATCAGAATTTTCAGCTTCTATTTGTATCAGCTTAGTACGTAGCTCTTCTATTCCAGTAACAAGTCTTTGCCTCTCTTTTTCATATTGCTTGTTCATAGTATGTTGACTTTGATCTTTTACGCTTTCTGCTAATAAACATAAAAGGAAAATTCTTCTGAATAAGACTTCAAGAATAAAAACCTACTTAGTTGAAAGATTTAGTCATAAAGTTTAGTTTCTGATCTAAAGAGTACTAAAAGGGACAGAGAATGAGACATTCATTAAGGAAATCAAGGAATAAGTAATGTGCTCTCTAAATTAAATACATAACAAAGATGAAAAAAGTTCTGAATCCCTCATTTTTCTAGGTAGCTAAGACTATTCCTTTGTACCAGAAATGTAAGAATCCTACTCCACCTTTTAACTTCCATTTTTTAGTAGAAATCATTGTAAAAAATTTTTTTAAGTTGCTCTCTTTCCTTAAACTGAAGGTAATCATAAAATTTATTTGGACACTTTGAGATCATTAAGAACATTTTTATGTACTGCACATAGATGCAGGTTCAAAAGCTCCAAAGAGTGAATCCTTCCTGACCCCATCGTCTTTCTCTCCAAACTAGCTAATGAGAATTCAGTGATGCTTTTTAAAAAATTACTGAAGGTAACCAGGCACAGTAGCATGCACCTGTTATCTGAGCTATTCAACAGGCTGAGGTGCATGCCACTTGAATTCAAGACCACCCTGGGCCACATGGCAAGATCCTGTCTAAAAAAAAAATTACTGAGCATTATCAGAGGTAGTTGTTTCAACATGCCCCTTCTCCACTATAAACATACACATCTCCCACTCCACAGTAAGCAAGCCTTCAGGAAAGCTTTTAAAAAGCACAATGTAGATGATTACATGAGAACACACACAGATATGAAAACAAGAAAAGATACACGTTGCCTTCAAGGTTTGCATAAGTAGTCATTTCTCATAAATTCTCTATACCCATTATATTTCACTTTCTAGGCTATCTACCTTTTATTGGCTTTGTTCTTGATGTAAGAGAATCTATAATATATTATATTTATTACCACCTCTAATTACTAGTATTCCCAACTTGGAACATTCACCAAGATAGATCATACGCTGGCCAATAAACCAAGTCTCAAAACACTCTTATAAATGAAGTCCTATAGAGTATGTTCTCTGGTCATCATGAATGACACAAAAATATCTGGAAAAACCTCCAAATATTTGGAAATAAAACACACACAGCCTGTGAGTCAAAGAGGAAATCACAAGAGATAACTATTTTGAACTGAATGAAAATGAAAATACAACACATTAAAAAAAGTAGTGGAATACAGCCAAAGCACTGCTTAAAGGGAAGTTTCTATCCTTAAATACTTAGATGAGAAAGGAAAAGAGGTCTAAAATCAATAATCTAAACTTAAAGAAAAGTTTTGTGGGGTTTAAAAAAAAAAAAAAAAAAAAAAAAAAAAACAGCCTAAAAGTTAACTGGCAAAAAGTACAAGGGATCCTGATGGAGATGTCTTATGTCTTGACTGTGGTGATGGTAACAAGAGTTAAACATTAAAACACAAACACCTGACAAAACGTATCAAACTGTATATTAAAATGGGTGCATCTTAATTGCAGGGGTCCCCAACCCCTGGGCCACAGACTGGTACCAGTCCATGGCCTATTAAGAACCGGGTCACATAGTAGGAGGTGAGTGGCAGGTGAATGACACCCACTCCCAATCGCTCGCATTATTGCTTGAGCTCTACCTCCTGTCAGATTAGCTGTGGCATTAGATTCCCATAGGAACACAAACCCTGTTATGAACTGCACATGCGCAGGATCTAGATTGCTCACTCCTTATGAGAATCTAATGCCTGATGATCTGTCACTGTCTCCCATGACCCCCAGATGGAACCTTCTAGTTGCAGGAAAACAAGTCAGGGCTCCCATTGATTCTACATTACAATGAGTTGTATGATTATTTCATCATCAATGTAATAATAATATAAATAAAGTGCACAATAAAAGTCATGCATTTGAATCATCCTGAAACCACCCCTGCCCCCGCCCCTGGTCCATGGAAAAAATGTCTTCCACAAAACCAGTCCCTGGTGCCAAAAAGGTTGGGGACCACTGTCTTACTGGATATCAATTTTACTTCACTAAAGAATGATACAAAGTCTAATAATTCTGAAATAACTTCTGCTGTCTTATCAGACCATAACTAGTAATAGATTATCAAGTATGTTTGATAATACAAACCAAACAGTTAATAAATTTGTTCTTTACAAACTATCATCTGAGAACACATGGACACATAGAGGGGAACAACACACACTGGGGTCTATCAGAGGGTGGAGGGTGGAAGGACGAGTGGAGCAGGAAAAATAATTAAGGGATACTAGGCTTAATACCTGGGTGATGAAATAATCTGTAAAACAAACCTCCATGACACAAGCTTACCTATGTAACAAATCTGCACATGTATCCCTGAACTTAAGTTAAATTAAAAAAAAATTTTAAAGTTTTTTTAAAAAAAACTATCATCCAAAACTCTAAATATAATTTATTAAAACAACTCAATATACTTACCCACTTGATGACCACCTAGCTTTACAGGTTCTGTTTCTAAACTACTTAATTTGCTACTTTCTTGGCTGTCATTACAAGTAATAAGACTCTGAGATAACTGATTTGCAGTCAGGTTTGCATGAAGCTTTTGAATTTCTGCCTCTTTTATTGCAAGCTTAATTCTGGCACAAAAGAAAAGAAGTGAAAAATTATTAGAAAGATTCTAAAAAAAATCTCCTACTGTACTATTTTTCACCTTTCAAGTTGATAAAATTAGAATTCTGATATTAGTCAACTCTTTAGGCAGGATATGAAAACTCGTATAGACCATTGTAGGATTATAAATTGGTTCAGTCACTTTACAAACTTGATGGTATCTAGTAAAATTGAAAACGTACACACTCTATGACCCAGCAATTTCACTTTTAGGAATATATACTACAGAAACTCTCATATATATGTATAAGAAAACATGTATAAGGATGTCCTTTGCAGCACTGTTTGTAACAGAAAATAGAAACAAGATACCTATAAAGGAACAAATAAATTATGACACTGTTATAGGACAGAATCCTACACAGTGATTCAAAGTAACTAACCACACAAATCCATTTGTTAATCTACTCTATCTCAATATGAATGAATTTTTAAAATACTGCTGAGTGAAAAAGCAAAATTGCACAGTATACAGTATATTTATATTTGTGTATATGTGTGTAAACACACAAAAATGAATAGAGAAATATATATCCAATTCATGATGGTGGATACTTAGGGGAAAAATGGAACTAGTCATAAGGATCAAAGGGCATTATTCATCCTGTAATGCTTTATTTTTTATTTAGAGAAACAGATTTAAAACAAATACCACAAATTTTAAGGAGAATCAATCCTGGTTAAGAAGATTCAATTCTTAGTTGTGGAATCACAGATACCTGTTATAATATTCTCTGAGCTTTTCTGTATATTTTTTAAATTCCTCAATTAAAGGTCATTTTATTTTATTTTATTTTATTTTATTATATTTTTGATGGAGTCTCACTCTGTTGCTCAGGCTGGAGTGCGGTGGCACTATCTCAGCTCACTGCAACCTCTGCCTCCTGGGTTCAAGTGAATCTCCTGCCTCAGCCTCCCAAGTAGCGGGGATTACAGGCACGTGCCACCACCACGCCTGGCTAATTTTTGTATTTTTAGTAGAGATGAGGTTTCACCATGTTGGTCAGGCTGGTCTCGAACTCCTGACCTTGTGATCCACCCACCTTGGCCTCCCAAAGTATTGGTATTACAGGCATGAGCCACCACGCTCAGCCAATTAAGGGTCTTAATTACCAATAAAAAAATTCTATTTGCTATAACTGAAGATTCTGAAAATTGTACCTCAATTCCGAAATCACCAATTTATTTGCCTCACAGCAGCCAATGCAACGGTCTTCCTTGTTTGAGAAGTTACTCATCTGGTATTTAGAAAGAGACGATTTAAAGCCAAATAATTCTCTTTTTAACTGCAAGTTTAAAAACAAACACGTGTAAACTTATGTACATGGGATGCAGTTGCTTTTTCATTCAGAACTTAAAATTTTAAAAACTGTATGAATTTGATGGTAACAACTTAATGTCCATCAATAGGAGAATATATAAATATATTAAGAAATATTAAGATAATTGGAAAACTACAATAGTTAAAAGAAATAAACCTGAGTCACATAAATCAGTATGGATACATCTCATAACAATATTAGTGAAAAACAAATTATAGTGGCAAACAGTATTTTCATAAAAACACTAAGCAACATATATATATTTCTAGATGCATCTATATGTGACAGTATTTAAAACATGGATGAGAAGGATACACATGAATTTCAGAATAATTGCCATTTCTGAGGAGAGAGGAAGAGAATTGGGATCTGACAAGGTACACAAAGAAGCTTTACCTATAAAATTTTATTCTAAAAAATATAGAGTTGATAAGACAATACATGTACCAAATTTTACAAATATGGTGCTACACTAGCATATGCACCTTTCTGTTGGTTTGGATAATACAGAATTTTAAAAGACAGTTATAAAGGAGCAAGGTAAGCACTTAATGACTTCTACCTTCAAACTATAACCAAATCACACCTCCTGGAAGTGGGGGAAAAAAAATCACATTTCCTAATCGTATCATTCTTAGCACTACAAGAAACAAATGATCAAGCATACATTACCACATTCGGAATCATATCTCAAATAATTCTGTTTTTAGAGACAGGATCTCACTCTGTCGCCCCGACTGGAGCTTATGATCATAGAACTCACTGCAACCTTGAACTCCTGGTCTCAAGCAATCCTCCTACCTCAGCTTCTCGACTAGCTGGGATCACAGGCATGCACCACCATGCCCAGCTAATTTTTGTATTTTTGTAGAGACAGGGTCTTGCTATATTGCCCAGGTTGGTCTTGAACTCTTGCTTCAAGAGTTCCTCTTACCTTGGCCTGCCAAAATGCTGGGATTACAAGCATGAACCACTGTGCCTGACCATATATGAAATAATTCTTGATACACAAATGAGAATGCAATTTAAAATTGTTATCTGTATATGATTACTTTCTAATTTCAAAAGCAAATAGTATATTAAAAATCTAAGCAAATAGCATCTGGGGAGAGCAGATACAACAGAGGAGCTAAGATTTTATGTTCTAGTTTAAATTCTACTACTTACCAGTTGAGCAATTTATTTACTTCCTTGGGTCTAGGTTTCTTCACCAATAAAATGATATTGAATCAGACAGTTGCTAAGATTTTTTTGGTTCATAATTCCACAGTTCATAATAGTTTAACATCGGTAAGTCTACCGTCTAGTCTACCATGCATTCATATGTGAAACCAACCATAATATATTTACCTATAGTTTCCCCTGATCTTTCCTTCATTTTACACCTATTGATTACAAATTCCTGAATAGGTTTACTTACCTTCTTCTTAATCTCACTTATATATATGGCCACAAATATAACTCAAAGAGAAAAGGTGGTAGACCATTATTATAAAAACATTTTAGGCCAGGCATGGTGGCTCAAGCCTGTAATCCCAGCACTTTGGGAGGCCGAGGCAGGCAGATCACCTGAGGTCAGGAGTTCAAGACCAGCCTGACCCACGTGCAGAAACCCTGCCTCTACTAAAAATACAAAATTAGCTGGGAGTGGTGGCACATGCCTGTAATTCCAGCTACTAGGGAGGCTGAGGCGGGCGAATAGCTTGAACCCAGGAGGTGGAGGTTGCAGTGAGCCGAGATCTCACCACTGCACTCCAGCCTGGCGACAGAGCGAGACACCATCTCAAAAAAAAAAAAATTAAAGTTCTATGCCATTCTAATAAGTACATGAAAAGTTGCTCATCATGAGCTGTTAAAAAAATGTAAATTAGGGCCAGGCATGGTGGCTTAAGCTTGTAATCCCAGCACTTTGGGAGGCCAAGGTGGGCGGATCATGAGGTCAGGCCCAGGTGGGCGCATTCGAGACCAGCTTGACCAATGTGGTGAAACCCTGTCCCATGTGCCTGTAGTCCTGGCTACTCGGGAGGCTGAGGCAGGAGAATTGCTTGAACCTGGGAACCAGAGGTTGCAGTAAGCTGAGATCATGCCACTGCACTCCAGCCTGGGCAACAGAGTAAGAGTCTGTCTTAAAAAAAAAAAAAGAAATGTAAATTAAAACCACAGTGTAATACCACTTCACATCCACTAAGATGGTAATAATAAAAAAGACAAGAACAAGTGTTGGCAAGGAAGTAGAGAAACAGGAACCCTCATACATTGCTGGTGAGAATGTAAAATAGTGTAGACATTTTGGAAAACAGTTTGGAATAAATTCATCATATGACCCAACAATTCTAGTCCTAGGTATTTACCCAAGAGAAATGAAAACATGTCCAAAGACTTGTATGCAAATGTTCATATAAGCATTATTCATAATATCCCAAAGTGGAAACAATCCAAATGTCCATCAACCAGTGAATGGATAAATCAAATGTAACATATCTATATAATGAAATACTATTTGGCAATAAAAAGAAATGAAATACTGATATCACAACATGAATGACTCTCAAAAACATTAAGAATGCAAAAGACCAGATGCAAAAGAGCACATATTACATGAGTTCATTTATGTGAAATGTCCAGAAAAGACATCTATAGATGCAAAAACTATTAGTGTCTTCCTATGGGTAGAAGGGAGTAGAGGGCCTAATTATAAATGGGTCCAAAATACCTTTTGGGGATGATAGACATGTTTCAAAGCTGGATTGTGGTGATTGTTACAAAACTTGCAAATTTACTAAAAATCATAGATTAGTACACTTAAAATAGGGAAATTTTATGGTATGTAAATGATACTTCAATAAAGCTGTTTAAAAAAAATTCTGTGCCATTCTAATATATGGCATCTGAGAAACTGGGAAAAAGTGTACAATGGTTAAGTGCAGGAAAAAAAACAGATTAGATAGAAGAGAAATTCAAGACTAAAGAGGAAAGAAAAAAATTAGAAGCTAATAAAGCAACCACAAAATGATAGTCTTTTCTAAAACACTTTAGTAAAATTCTTCTTTTCCATTACGTAATCACACATACTTACTGGCAACTGGGATATAATCTTTTCCATACTTCTTAGTTCTACCCTTGAACTTTCAATTTCTTGTTGACATAAATCTAGTCGCTCATTCTGTGCTGCAACACGGACCTTTAATTCTCGGTTTTCATTCATTAAAGAAAATTTGTCTCTAAGTATTTCGTCTTTGTTCTCTAACTCACTCTCTAGCTTCAAAATACTTTGTCTAGATTCAGTTAGCTGTGCCATGACTTCTGAATTTTTCACTGCCATGATCCTTAGTTTTTCTTTTCCATTGTTATTTTCTTCTTTTAACTGCCTATGAAGAAAAGAGAATAAAAATGAAAATAAAATATATATGCATTCATTTTCAATCACATTTATTTAATCTCACTTTTAAAATTTTTTGAAGCTTAATTCTAAAATAATACCTGCTCACATTTACTAAGTACCTACTTTCTGCATGCCAGGCACTCACAACTTTATGTGGTTAGCACTATTATTACTTCTTATTTACAGATGAGGTAACTGAGGCACAAAAAGGTTAAATAACTTTCCCAGCGTCTCACAGTAAACGGCAGGGAAGGACAGCCCTACTATCTTGAAAGCATTTCTGCTCCCTGTTTAATTATATAAGACAGGAAATCTAACTCCAAAATCGCTGACATAGCATTTCGCATTATCAACAAAGTTTTGGATTCCTAAAACAGGAGAAAAAGTAAACTGGCTCTACATAATTGTACAATCAGTTTAAGAGCCCAGCATCAATGACTTTCTCTTCTTACAAGAATTTTTTTTTTTTTTTTGAGATGGAATCTCACTGTATTGCCCAGGCTGGAGTGCAGTAGCGCAATCTTGGCTCACTGCAAGCTCCGCCTCCTGGGTTCATGCCATTCTCCTGCCTCAGCCTCCCGAATAGCTGGGACTACAGGCGCCCGCCACCACGCCCAGCTAATTTTTTTTTTTTCAGTAGAGATGGGGTTTCACTGTGTTAGCCAGGATGGTCTCGATCTCCTGATCTCGTGATCCGCCCGCCTCAGCCTCCCAAAGTGCTGGGATTACAGGCAAGAGCCACCGCACCCGGCCCTTACAAGTATTCTTTTAAGAAATACTGCATCAGCAACTCTTAATGGCACACTGGGAGATACTGTGTTGAAAAACTTAGACATTTTAGAAGGGTCAGACTCCAAATGTGAAGTTTTAAAAATATCTTAACCAATTTCACTTATATTTGAAATATGAAAATAACATTTTTTTGGAAAATATAAAAATAACATAACTTAAGAAATCATACGTAATTAAATATACAAGAATTCTTTCATGAAGCATAAACATTTTAAGTGATGAAGGATTGCATCATAGTGTAATTGGCAGCATTTTTCTTTCTTAAAAGTAGATCTTGCAATCGATAATCAATTCTAGAAAATACTCTAGTAAAAAGCATCTTTACTCCCTCCTCCTTGGCAAAAATACTAAACAGACTACCTTAAGGAAAGTGCGGCAAAATTAGACAAACCAGTTATTCTGATTGCTTCCTGCTCCCCCTTTTTTTTAAAAAAATTACCAGTTTGAAGTGATAAAGACTGATTAATATTAACCTCGGAAAGCTGATGGGTGTTAGTTTTAAGAGGACAACAAGATATACTAAGAGAGAGTATAGGAGTCAGAAGACTTTGATCTTTCAAAGACCTTCAGTAAATTCTGGCTACTCTTGGGGCTTCTGTTTCTTTACTTATAAAATGAGAAGTTTGGACTAGGTAATTTTTTATGATTTGAAAAACACTTTTTATTAGAACATTGGATATTATACACATTTTACTAGCAAGTTAATGTGGTCATACACCAATGACATTATGTCTATTAATTTTCCCTAAATATATGCAAAGCAAATATGTTGATCAGAACTTCTCCATATTTACAAGTATATTCACATTAACACATTTTACTTCATTTCTAATTCTAACTCGATAGCTAGAAAACAGTTTCAGTCATGAAGCCTATCCTTCTATATAATGTAAGCCCATAATTACAACATATAAAATATTGTTTAAAAATGTTTCAGTTTTTTCCATCGCCACACAAAAATCCTTTTTCTACAACAGAATACTGTACCTTAATTTCTCTTTCAGAATTTCAAGTTCACTTTTACATAGACCACACTTTTCTTGTAGCCTTTTATTTTCTTTTTCACAGTTAATTAGATTTCTCTCTAATATTTCTTCTTCAGCTTGAACCTAAAACAATAATTTAAGTGGACATACTAATGTGGTTGTAAGTTTTAGGTGTTTCAAGCTAAAAATGTAAGTAGTGATTTCAGAAATAAGCAGGAATGTAAACTAAGAATTTCATACATTTAAGTCCCCAGCCTCATAGTGAAAAGTAGCAAAGTGAAGTTCCTGGGCAGTAACAAAAGACAGAGAAAAGGATGATACTACATGTCCAGAAAACCTGTAACAGATAGGCAACTGCATCAACTGAAAGCAAAAATTCATCTAGAGCTGCTGTGTACGAGTTACTAAAGGTTAATTTTAGTGCAAATGTTCCAGAGAAGTTGTTTTTGAAATTTTAACCACAAAATTTACCAATGAAACCACAGCCCAAAATGTAGAACAGATAAAAGCACCCAGGATACAGTGTTGAGAGGAGAAGATTGGGAATATCTGCCCCAATTCCTTTGTTACCCTGTTACATCCACTTAACTATAGGGCTTTGCTGAGCATTGTTTGCAACTGATAATCCTAAGTGTAAAAAAAAAAAAAACCTGTCTCTTACATTCTTCTCTCTTTTCTCCATAAAGTCCTTCTTCTCCCCAAGAATATTCCTCCTACTAGGTCTTCTACCTCCCCTTACTGATCACCTTATTAAAAATCCCTTCTAAGATATTTCTTTCCCACAAGCACCCTCTCCAAGACTCTCAAAACCGCCTTCTTATTAACTAATTCACATTTAAGATTTCAATACCTAGTGAGACCTTAATATTTTACACTGCCAAGTGATATTCACAGTTTTACTGCAAAGGAATGACCACTTTGTAATCAACTGCAGACTTTCTCCTGGATCTCAGTATTTAATATTGTTGGTAACTTCTCCTCTAAAATATTTTACCATGTAGCTGTCATGACAATATTACACTTGACTCTGGCCACTCTTGTTTTCTTTGCTTCCTTTTATTAACTCATAATTCCTGACTGCTCTTTTCTTTCTATTCATTCTCTCAAAAGTTTAGTGAATTTCTTGACTTTCCTTATTGCAACTATATTATGAGAAATACTCACCCCAAGTTTCCAAAATCCCTCCTATCCTCCTTACGCTATGAAAATTTCTTAAGCAACATCTTAACTTATGGGACCAAAGACATTTAATTCAAAATCCTTCAATTTCCTTCCACCTAAAACTTTTTTCTCTTTTTATCCACAAAGAAAAGAAATGTCCTATTTCATTAAAAAAAAGAATCTCACTTCTGCTCTTGGACTATCATCTTGCATATCGTTCAGACTCTTGTGCCATCTTTTATTCCTTATAATTCTAGCATCTTCAATCTCCCCCTACTAATAAGTTCAGGGTACCCTTAGGTGCTTTACCACAGCTTCTTCACCTTAACTTAGCTTCTTTCTTCCCTTTCATTCGCCGACTTTCCCAACCCGCCACACACACTTACTTCCTCTTCACCTATCATATGTAAAGAATTGTCTGTTAGCTACCTCTACTCTCTCCCTTTCCATCTCTCCCATTTCAGAGGTTGTGCCTTCTATTTTAATAAGTTGCTCTCTACAAAGTATCCAAAGACTCCCTGATTATAAAAACCAAGAGCCCTGTCTCGTTCCTCATCTTTCTAAAATTTTTTTCTGATTTTTTACAGACAGGGTCTTGCTCTTTCACTCAGGCCTGAGTGCAGTGACATTATCAGGGCTTAATGCAGCCTCTAACTCCTGACTTCAAGCAATCCTTCTACCTCAGCCTCCTGAGTAGCTGCAATTACAGGCGTAAGCCACCACACCTGGTTCAGTCCTCATTCTTCTTGACCAGTTTGCAACATCTGGCACTGAAGATCACCACCTTCTTTTTAAAATGTTCTATCGCCTTGACTTTTCGTATTATACTTTCCTGATTCTCTAATTTTTTAAAATAACTTATCGATATCTTTCAAAAGCTAATCTATCTGTTCTTTATCTCCCAGGGTATCTTCCCTCTTGTTCTCATTCTATATGAACTCTGTCAATGTCCAAGGCTTCTACCACTTTAATTCAGTGCTGTCAATTCTCAAAACTACAGCCCTAGTACAGATTTCTATATCGAAATCCAGACCTATAGATACAAAAGCCTACTAGAAACCTGTAACTGGTTATTCTACAGACATTTCCAAAATAGAACTCATTAACTTTTTTTCCTGAATTGTCTATTTTGATTCATGATGCAATCATCCAGCAGTCACTCAAACCAGCAACCTAAAAATATCCTATATTCTTCTTTCTCATACTGCCGGCTTCTAATGCATTCAAGTGGTCACTAGATCCCACTGATTCCCCAACTTTAACATCCCTCATAGCTATCTACTCAGCTCCTTCATCTTCAATATCTCTTGCCTTGTCTTTTAAAGTCTCCTTGACTTGTTTCTCACCTCTCAAATGCATCTTCACATGACATCAGAGTGAGCTTCCTAGAACATAGATTTTGAATCATTTTCCCTGCTTAACACTATTCAATGATATACCACAATATTTGAGATAGCGTAGCAGCTCAAGCATTGCCTACTCTGTGAAGCCTTCTTTGGGCCCACCAGAGTTTATTAACCACCGCCACCTTCATCCCACCCTACTACACCTACCTCTTATTTCTATATTATACTTCGTATTCCAAAATACTGAAATTATTTGTTTATATACTTGTCAATCTTACTAGACAGTGAGCTCTTTAGGGTAGGTATCATGTGTTATGTATCACCGAATCTCCCAGAGACTAGCACAGTACCTGGCATGTAAAAGGAATTTCATAATTGTTTAATAAATGAATACCCATCTTCTCATTCTACCGTTCTACCTAAACATTCCTTCCTCTGCCTTTCTACCTTTGTTTGAACAGAATCATAAACTTCCTCTGCTTTCACTGTTATCTCAAGATGGAAGCTCCCATATTAGTATCTCTTTACCAGACCTCTCTTTTGAGCTCATTATCTGAACATCCAACTGTGGTGTTCCTCCACACACATTTCATTACCGTGTGATATTACTTAAAGATACTAAATGAATATAATAAATGAATGTAATAAACTCACTATATTTCTACATCAAATCAGTTCAAGGAACCTTCCCTCTGAGAGGCAGAAGCTAGCCCCTCTCAGAGTAGCAGACTCAGAGAGACCAGTTGAAGGCTACATAATCTGTCTTCATTTTCACTGAAGTGATAAAAATGAATTTCTTTCTTCTACTTCTCTAGCTCCAATCTCTGTTCACATATTCCATCCTTCTCTATATTTTGTTCCTTCTCCTCTCTCTACTCTTTTCCTTCTTTGGATAAAAAAGTTTCTGCTGATAATAAAAGGGTTGGTAAACATCATCCTTAACTAACATTTACAAATTGTTTATTTAAATGATTTTATAAGATCATAAAAATTACTCTCTGTCTCAACCATAAACATATTTTAATTATTCCTACCTTTATTGTTGGAATATAGAGAGTAATACAAAACACTGAATTTGCACAACTGCCTCTTACCTTTTCCAGTTTTTCAGCCACTTTCTTTTTATATTGTTGGAAAGCGTTACTCAGCTCTTCAGCATTGTATAGTGCTTCATTCCTTTGTCGTTCAGCTCTAAAATTTAAAAAGAGATAATGAATAAAAGTAAAGAATGCTCTGCATTTGAATAGTTAAGTTCCAAAGTAATCTTTAATTATAAGGAATAATTGGAGAGAAACAAATTTGTCTGTACTAAAAAGAAGTATTAGGCTTAAAGTATAAAACGAAGAATGTAGATCATACTACAAAAACTTTCTCACTCTATCAATATGAAAAATAAAATATAACACAAAACAATTATAAACATATATGTTGAAATATATATAAATTCTTATGTGTTGGCAATTTTTTCCCCCTATCTGAAAAAGACAGATTAGGAAAATAGCCTGAGGCTGGATGATAAATTTTCAAAGGTTAGGAATTACAAAATCAGTCTATTGTCTAGAATATTAAATATACTCAGTAAATTCCGTGACCTTTGCAAAGGTCAAATAAATTTCAAACAAGTATTTAAAAAAATGTTAACTTCTATTGATACCAGATATAAAAATCTAGACAACAAAAAACATAACCACCACCAAGCACTATTTAAGCCTAACCTTGTTGCCTCATCTCTTAGTTCCTTACGCTTCTTGTAATGAAATGAAAATTTGGGGCACAATACATTGAGAATACTTGGTCAATATCACACTGACGCCTAAAAATATTTTAATATTTAAACCTATTCCCATCATATTCTTTCTAATGTAAGTGAGGTTAGTGACCCTCCTCTTATCCAGGATGAATTACTCTATTTATAGTCTGGATCTTAACTCTTAACCCTTCAGAAATGCACTCTAGCTTCTGTATTTTCATTCCCTCTGTTGGTTATTTTGCCACAAGTATAAAAAGTTCAAGTAAAAGTATTCCTAACTTCCTGAATCTATGTGGTTAAGTATGTCTATCTGACTCCAAAGTTTCAGATAAAGGAAAGTAAGGACAACCAAGGATTTCTCTGAAAATCTGTAGGAATATAATCAATTCCTGAATGTGCACAGGTACTGTTCAGAGCAAAGGATACCTGTATTTCTCACTTAAACAAACAAAAACCTTCCCACATATTGTGCTTTCCTCTATCACCCTTCTTTTCTTTCTTTTTTTTTTTTTTTTTTGAGACGGAGTCTCACTCTGTTGCCCAGGCTGGAGTGCAGTGGCACGATCTGGGCTCAATGCAAGCTCCGCCTCCCAGGTTCATGCCATTCTCCTGCCTCAGCCTCTTGAGTAGCTGGGACTACAGGCGCCCGCCACCTCGCCCGGCTAGTTTTTTGTATTTTTTTTAGAAGAGACAGGGTTTCACCGTGTTAGCCAGGATGGTCTCGATCTCCTGACCTCGTGATCCACCCATCTCGGCCTCCCAAAGTGCTGGGATTACAGGCTTGAGCCAACGCGCCCGGCCTCATCCTTCTTTTCAAGCCAGACTTATCCACTTTACACTTATCTACTCTTCCTCGCTTCCAATTTGTAAAAAGTAATGACATATTTCAGCCACACACAAAAGTGTGGATAAATATTACCAAGTACTTCCAATCATGTTTTAATGAATCTTCACTCTTTGTCTGAAAAGGCTACAGAAGACAAACAAAACATCACAAATAAAGTTGAGGTCCTTATGTGTCCTGTCCAAATCCCATTCCCCTGACTTCTTCCACAGAGGTAACCCTATCCTGATTTGGGTGTTTTTTATTTTGTACATTCATGTTAACCTACACCCACAAATAGTATATATCACAGTTCATCTATTCTGAGAGGCACATTGTTTTCACTTTTTGTTGTGTGTGTGGAGATGGGTGTCTTGCTATTTTGCCCGGGCTGGTCTTGAATTCCTGGCCTCAAGTAATACTCCCACTTTGGCCCCCTCGAGTGCTTGCATTACTGGAGTGAGTCACTGTGCCCAGCCTGTTTTCGCTTCTGTTTTGTTTTTTTTTTTCTTTAATAACCACCTATAGTCTTACCATGGTTTCACATTTTTAACATCTCTAAAATTTTTATGTGCTGGGTATGGTGGTTCACACCTGTATTCCAAACACTTTAGAAGGCTGAACCAGGAGGATTGCTTGAAGCCAGAAGTTAGAGACCAGTCTGGTAAACACAGTGAGATCATCTCTACAAAAAGTTAAATGGGAGTGGTGGTGCACACCTGTGGTCCCAGCTACTCTAGAGGCTGAAGCAGGAGGATCCCTTGAGCGCAGGGATTTGAGGCTGCAGTGAGCCATGATCGCAATGCTGCATTCTAGCCTGGGTGACACAGCAAGACCCTATCTCTAAAAAAATAAAATAAAATAAGACAGTTCCAGGTGGGGGTCCATAAAGTGCAGCAGCCACAGCCAGCTACCTCATGCTCAACAACAGCGCCTAGATGCTCATCCTGGGGCTGGCACCTGCAAGTCCCCCTTGGGCCAGGTAACTGAAGCTGTGAAGGTGGCAATCGACATCGGGTACTGCTGCATTTACTATGTCTACATGTACCAGAACGCAAATGAGGTGGGGGTAGCCATTCAGAGGAGCTACCCACTGCGGGTCTCCTCTGAGCTGTTCTGTCGCTCAACAAAGCTTCTCTTTGTATTGCTTACCCTCCACTTGTTTGCGTACCTCATTCTTCCCAGACACAGGACAAGAACTCAGGACCCACTGAATGGTGGGGCTAAAAATGCTGTAACACAAATGGCTGAAACACCCCTTGTTCACCACGTTGCAGGCAACAAGAAGAAAAGGCAAGAGAAGGAGAGAAGAGCTGCAGCCCTTCGGAGAGCCCAGACCTATGAGCTTCCCGAGCCAGGGCTGTGACACCCTCTTTAGGGCTCTGTGGTTCCTGGTGTCTCCAAGCTTCCGGCACCACCACGTTCCCTGGTGTCAGCCATGGAAGCTGCTTATGCTACGCCTGGTCCAGACACAGCCTCACAGGGAGCTGGCGCCTGGAGCTGCTCACACTACCACAGCCGGCGTGCCTGGCTATGCATAGTGGCCAGTGCCTACAGTTGTTCACACGCCCCTTGTCATTCTGCACCTAGCTCACTCTTGACAGGTGTGGGATCCAGGGTGGTAGCTGAGTGGGCGGAATGAGCCCAGTGGGCCAGAGCAAAACTCAGGCAAAGGTGCCACTGGCCACAGAGGTTTCTGGCTGGTGAAGGAACAACCCAAGGATCCCAAAACAGCATAGAGCGCCTCCTGCTTCCAGAAATCTTAAGTATAAAAATTTCTTCCTTCATGTCAGTCATGTGTCTGTATCTTACCATACGTGATTAAAACAAACCCCAAATACATTCTAAAATATGCATTAAAGCCAGGCACAGTGGCTCATCCCTATAATACTTGCACTTTAGGAGGCCAAGGCAGGAGGACCGCTTGAGTCCAGGAGCTCAAGACCAGCCTGGGCAACACAGTGAGACCCCATGCCTAAAAAAAATTTAAAAATTAGTCAGGTGTGGGCCAGGCACAGTGGCTCACGCCTGTAATCCCAGCACTTTGGGAGGCCGAGGTGGGCGGATCACGAGGTCAGGAGATCGAGACCATCCTGACACCCCGTCTCTACTAAAAATACAAAAAATTATCCGGGTGTGGTGGCGGGCGCCTGTAGTCCCAGCTACACGGGAGGCTGAGGCAAGAGAATGGTGTGAACCCGGGAGGCGGAGCTTGCAGTGAGCCGAGATTGTGCCACTGCACTCCAGCCTGGGCGACACAGCGAGACTCCGTCTCAAAAAAAAAAAAAAAAACAAAATTAGTAAGGTGTGGTGGGGCAAGCCTGTAGTCCTAACTATCTGGGAGGCTGAGGTGGGAGGATCGCTTGAGCCCAGGAGTTGGGAGCTACAGTGAGCCACGATCACAGCATTGCACTCCAGCCTGGGTAACAAAGCAATACCATATCTCTCAAAAAAAAATTAAGACTATACGTATCTTCTGTAGATTTTTTCTTATAGTTTTTCTTATTTGATTTTAATTTTTTATTGAGTAAAGTACAGAAATCCTAATTGAGTGAATGTTTTAATAATGTATATACTTACTTAACTACTATCCCAATCAAAAAGAGAACACTTCCAGCTCCCCTGTGTACCTTCCCAGTGAGTATTCTTTACCCCAAAAAGGTAAGCACCATTTGGACTTTTAACAACATATGTTAATTTTGCCTATCCTTGATTTGCTATGGAATTATACAGTATTCTATTGTGGCTTCTTCTACTGAGCATTGTATGTGTGATATTAACCCATGTTGTTACATAGTTGTAGCTGCTCTTTTTTACATTAATTATGTGTATAATTAATTATGTGAACATACCACAGTTTATCGATTACACTGTTGATGAACATTTAGCAATTACAAATAAAATTACTTTAACATTCTTGTACATGTCTTTTAACATAGGGACTAAGTTTTGTTGAAATGAATGGTGGATCCTAAGGCAGGCTTATGTTTACCTTTAGCAGCTACTGACAGTTTTCCAAAGTGGTTCTACAAATTTACACTTCCATTAGAAATGCAGAAGAGTTTCAATTCCACATCCTCGCCAAAACTTGTTTTTGAGAGCCTTTTCCATTTTAGCCATCGTGGGCCATAGCGGGCCTGATGTTTCCATTTGTCGTCATTGTTTTGACTAGTTTAGTTATTTGTGGGCAGATTTTTAATTGTTGATTTGATATCCCTAATAGCTATATATACAGACACACATATATATATGTATACACATATATAGATGCACACACATACACACACACATATATATATATTTTTTTCAGGTTTTCCATTTATTTTAAAGTTAGTTTTGTTAAATTATATTTTGCTAAGAAATTTATTTAGTCTAAGTTTTCAAATGTATCATCCTTAAAATGATTCAGCTATTGGTCTTATTTCTTACATATTTCTTATGGCTTACCGATTTATAGCTAAATGTGTAGTTTGGGAGTCCCTTGTCAATCCCAACACTTGTGCCTTTTCTGCTTTATTAATCTTGTCTGATGCCCATTTTCTTGTTCATTGTGAAAATAACCACATTTAGGTTTTGGTAATCCTTTATATTGTTTCATTGTTTTCTATTCATCCACTTCATCCTTATCTTTATTATTTCCTTACTTCTATTTTCTTTGGTGTTCATTCTTTCTTCTGATGTCCTCCTTTTCCTGACCACACAATTGGCTATTTTAGTTCATTAATTTTCAGTCATGATATAATACATGTATATAAGGTTCAATTTTTTCCTCTAAGAGTGTCTTTAGGTACAGCCTACAAGCAGTGATGCACAATTTTTTTTATATCACTCAGTTCTAAATGTTTTCTAATTTATTCAATAGTCAGTGAACACCAGTAAGCCTGGTTTTACATTTCCAAACATACAGGATTTCAAGGAGTTATATTCTAACTTAACTGAACTGTGGTTGGAGAAAACAATACACACTACATCAATCTTTTGGAATTTTTTCAAATTCATGCTATCTGGCATAGTGAGATAACAGATTACATCTGCTTGAAAGAACGTCAATTTCAAACTGTTGACTACAGGGTTCCATATGCACATCCATTAGATCAAGAATATTAATTGTCTTACTCAACACTTCAAGTCTTAGTTTTTTGTTACTTAACAATTCCTGATAAATGTATAAAGAATTTTCCCCATATGACTACAGATTTGTTCTTTCCTCCCTGAAATTGTGTTATTTTTCTTATGTATTTTGGGACTAAATTATTAGATACATATAAGTTTAGAGTCTTTATAGCTTGCTGGTTTAGAGTCTTTATATCTTCTTGGCTAAGTGTCACTTAAACATTATATGAGTCATTTTAATGTTGGTAATGTTCATTGCATTGAAGTCTATTCTGATCCTAATACAGTAATATCAACTTTGCTTTGGTGGGTATTTGAAACATTCCTTTCCATTCTTTTTTTTTTCTTTTTTGAGACAGAGTCTCACTCTGTCATACAGGCTGGAGTGCAGTGACATAATCTCGGCTCACTGTAATCTCTGCCTCCTAGGCTCAAGCAATCCCTTTCACCTTAACCTCCTGAATAGCTGGGACTCCAGGCCTGTGCCACCACACCTGGCTAATTTTTATATTTTTTGTAGAGATGGGGTTTCACCATGTTGCCCGGGCTGGTCCTGAACTCACAAGCTCAAGTGATCCACCCATCTCGGCCCCACAAAGTGCTAGGATTACAAAGTGCTAGGTTAGCCACCGCACCCCATCTGCTTTCAATTTTCCTGTGTCCTTATGTTTTAGGTAATCTCTTAAAAACAGCATAAAGCTAAACAATCTCTCCCTTTACACTGGCTTTTCAATCCATTATGATTAATCTTCTCCACCCAAAAAATAGTCCTTGCAAAGGTTTTGATCTTTCAATCTCAGAATGTGCCAGTCTATTTGTGCTGCTGGACAAATATCATAGTCTAGGTAGTTTATAAAAAACAGAAATGTATTTCTCACAGTTCTGGAGGCTGGCAAGTCCAAAATCAAGGCACTGGCAGGTTGGTAGGGCCTAATCTCTCTGCTTCCAAGATGGTGCCTTAAATGCTACATCCTCCAAGGAGGAGGAACACTATGTTCTAACATGACAGAAAGGAAAAAAGGGACAAACTCCCTCTGTCAAGCCCTCTTATAATGGCATTAATCCGTTCATGAAAGCAGAGCCCTTGTGACCTAAGTACCTCCTAAACGCTCCACTTCCCAACAGTGTTGTATTGGCATTAAGTTTCCAATACAAAAAATTGGGTGGACACATTCAGACCACAGCAGAAAGTCAATATTCATTTTAGTTCTTCGAAAAGCTCCAAGAGTCTTCATATCATACCTCTACCTAAAAATCTCAATTGGCTATTTATGCTCTCCAGGTTAAAATACAAATCCTTTGGTATAACACACAAAGTCATTTACAGTCTGGATCCAGTGTGTCTTTCATGTCTCATCTCCCACTCCACCTATTTACTTATAAGAACATAAAATTACTTAAGGGTTCTTCAGCAATGATACTCTTTAATATGTCTATACCTTTGCACATGCTGCCCAGAATGTGTCTGTCCCCACTTACTCACTTTGTGAAGCCAAAGTCAATACTTAGCTGGGCGCAGTGGCTCAGGCCTATAATTCCAGCACTTTGGGAGTCCGAGGAGGGTGGATCACTTGAGGTCAGGAGTTTGGGACCAGCCTGACCAACATGGTGAAACCCTGTCTCTACTAAAAATAAAAGAATTAGCTGAGTGTGGTAGTGCATGCCTGTAATCCCAGCTACTCAGGAGGCTGAGAAAGGAGAACTGCTTGAACCTATGGGGCGGAGGCTGCAGTGAGCCAAGATCACACCACTGCACTCCAGCCTGCAAGACAGAGTAAGACTCCACCTCAAACAACAACAACAACAAAGTCAATATCCTGAAAATCATCTCTTATCTAAGTTCTATAGAGGAAACTAGTAGCTCTTCCTCTTTATTTTTTCTTGGCAGCTATATTGTGAATGTGGTCTTCATGTATTATTATCTCACTATTTTAAATAACCATATGCAAAGCTTATCTGAGTAAGTAAAGTGTGAATTCTAGAATATGTAACCACAAAGTTTATATAATAGTTACGAATTACTAGTATTTATTAAGAGGTACCTTATATTTCTTTTTTTATTTACTCTTCATATCTATCCATATAAAGATAATATCGTTTTTATTTAATGAAATGAATGAAAAAAACCTGAGATTTCAAAAGGTTATATCATTTGGCCAAGGTAACAAAGCCAATGAGAGGTAAAATCTAAAAATTTTCTAACTAACTCCAAAACCTAAGCATTTTCTACTAATATTTGTAATATTGCTTAGTACAGATTATGGCTTTATACTGTATAAAAACTGCTATAATCCTATTTCATTATAAAATCTTATTAGCTTAAACTAAAAAAATTTAAATCTTTATCACTTTAAAAGTGAACTGGCATTCAGAGTTAATGGTTCCTTGGACAGAGACACTTAAAAGACTTTATCTCCAGATATAATTTATACGAAATAGATATTTTTGTACTACTTATATATTTCTAAAGGAAGATCCAACCACACATTCTCATGCATTGAGTTTCTTTCTCTATGAGGCAAAATTTTCTTTTTAAGAGTTCATTCAACATTTTATTTAGTTTTATTAGAGGTAAATATTAATTTACAGGCTTTTTCCCTGTTAGTATTTTAAACTCAGTATACTGATTTCAAATAGGCCACAGAACTTAATTTCAGATATAAGTATCATTACACTGATAATCATTATCAGTTTTGTAGAAATTCAGCCCAATCCAGAATGCTAATAACATAAATTCCACACACAAACATTTTAATGGAAAATTTCAAAAAATTAATAGATAAAAAGAACATTAAGTTATTCTATTGCCAAATCTCTGAAATTTTTTCACTTCAAAAATTAACTAGAATTTTAAACAGGTAATATATTCTTTTATTCCCTTTCAAAAAAATGTATTTGCTTTAAAAACACATACCTTTTTCCTTGTTTGGTTTGTTCAAGTAAGTCCACCTTTAATTTTATACATTCCTCTTTGGACTCCTGCAAACTCTGTTCCTTTTCAATTACCATTTTCTGGCTCTGTTCCAGCTTATTTTCTGCCTCTCTATAAAATAAAGGATACTTTGTTTTAAGACTACTAAAGAGATTATCCCAGGTATGCAAGAATAATTTAATATTAGGAATTATATCTGTTTAAATCAATGAGTTAAGCAAAACAATATACAAAAAGAGACAGAGAAAAAGGTATATTCATCCCTTGTTAATTAAGAGTTTTTTTAAAAATAAAAGAATACTTTCACCAGATGATAAATATATCTGAAGTAATAACTCACATCATATTTTATAGTCAGATACCAGAAGCATTCCTGTATAGTTCAGAAACTAAATAAGGATGACTGTTATCATCCCACATCCAACAACTTTACTAACAGTTCTACCCACTGCAAAAAGCAAATATGAAAAGGTATTAAGAAGTATAAATGCTGAAAAGGAAAGACAAAATTTTTTTCTTTTTCCTACTCTTTGAGTCAGAAACAAAATTTTCTTTATTTGCTGATAATACCATTAGCTACCAATTACAAAATAATTATATTATACAAGTCAGTAACCTTCCCATACACTAGCAATGAACAAACTAGGAACAATTCATAATTACTAAAAATATAAAATACCTACAAATAAATTTAAAATAATATATGTATTACAAAGAAAATTACAAAACTCTGATGGACATAAAAGACAACTTTAGTATGCAGCAAATCATTTGCAGAACTTGTGAAACACCTCCCAACTTGGTTCAGTATGCCAGAGATAAGGTCTGAGAATTTGCATTTCTAACAAGTTCCCAGGTGATGCTACTATTGCTGGTCGTTTAACTATATTCTCAGAATCACTCAGAGTAATATGTTATTTAATATGCATATATTTCCCATTTTATTCAAAGCAGAAGAGAATAAATTATAAAGTGCCCGATGGCAAGGCATGACAGTTCATGCCTATAATCCCAACACTTTGAGAGGCCGAAGCAGGAGGACTGCTTGAGGCCAGGAGTTTGAGACCAGCCTGACCAACATAGTGAGACCCCGTCTCTACAAAATAAAAAATAAAAAGCTCAGCTGGGCACACTGGTGTGTGCCTGTAGTCCCACTACTTGGGAGGCTGAGGCAGAAGGATCATTTGAGCCCAGGAGGCTGCGGCTGCAGTGAGCCATATTGCACCACTGCACTCCAGCCTAGGTGACAGAGTGAGACCCTGTCTGTAAAAATAATAAAAGTGTCTGACTCCTTTACATTTTATTTCTTGAACTCCCTTTGAAATACTGAGTATATACTGCTATGTAGGTGAAGAAATGAACTAATTCATATTTGACAAAAGCATGTAAATAGGCATCTCACCTTAGTCTTTTTTAACCCCTATATACTGCATGCAACCTACAGCCAAGAGGAGTTATGATTGACTAAAAATAGATTCAACGAGTTCTAAGACAACTGAACACCATTAGGGTATGTAAATATATTGGGTGTGGGGAACAAGATTTAACAAGATATAACAAAATGTAAAAGTAGCAAATAAAACTTCGAGAGCTATAAAAAGTATATTTACCTCAAAACTTTATCTTGAGCTGAAACCTCTGCTTCCAAATTTATAATCTGTTCTTCTAAGATTGGGACACTGGCTGCCTGCTGTTGAGCAAATTCAAGCATGGAAACCTAAAATATAAAAACAACTTTTATAGTACTTTCAGAAAATAAATTAACCTACTTGGCCCTTAGTTTTTTTCCTGTCAGATAAGGGGGTTCAACCAAATCATTGCTCAGATATAAAGCTTCCCATCTATTCCTTTGATCAACATTTACATGGGCATATCATCATAAGCCAGCCGTGGCAATGTAAGCTCCTGGCATTACCTTCAACTTATAACTGAAGAGTTATTTAGGGGAGAAAACAGAATCTCTACTGATAAGCATCTAGCAAGATTAATTTTACATAAATTAGAAAATTAAATATAAAACATCAAACTATAAACAATTATGAAAGAAAATATTTATTGAATTTTTATGATTTAAAGACCTAATTATAGAATACATGCTTACTAGAAAGAATCTAAATACAGAAAAGCATAATGACCCTACAATCTGTATTATAAAGAGAGTACAACTACTATAGCAGGATGGGAACCCACAATCTAAATGGTATGGAAGAAAGTATCAATAAGATAACTATCATTGAAAAAGAAGTTTAGAACATGAAGGCACAAGGTACTGTAGAGGACAGAAGTGAGGACCCAATGAAAAAGCAGGGATACAGTTCAAAGTATCTGCAAATAACAGTTATCTTTTTTCCCACTCCCAGAACACCAACAGCAAGGTGTTGGCATACTAGGAAAGAGGCAGAAAGTTTATTATCAGAAGAAACTGAACAGAAGAAGCTTGAGACTGTGGGACACTAAGAATAACGAGCAGGAATGAAGTACGGCTGTAACAAGGGAATTAATATAAAACGGATAGCTCCACCTTACTACTCTATTTCGTTTTTGGTTATCCCACAGGTGAGAAACTAAAGGATTCTTTGCTAGAGAAACTCAACAGCTCAAAAAAAAAAAAAAAAAAATCTCTTTCCATGCTGATAGCACTCCCACAAACATGGTGAACATTCCTAAAACCTGCAGGACTTTCTGTAAGAAGTGTGGCAAGCACCAACCGCAGAAAGTGATACAGTACAAGAAGGGCAAGGATTCTCTGTATGCCCAGGGAAAGCAGTGATATGACAGGAAGCAGAGTGGTTATGGTGGGCAGACTAAGTAGATTTTCCAGAAAAAGGCTGAAACTACAAAGAAGATTGTGCTAAGGCTTGAGTGCATTGAGCCCAGCTGCAGATCTAAGAGAAAGCTGACTACTAAAAGATGCAAGCATTCTGAACTGGGAGGAGATAAGAGCAGAAAGAGCCAAGTGACCCAGTTTTAAGTGTTATCTTTTGTTTTATTACGAAGACAATAAAATCTTGAGTTTATGTTAAAAAAAAAAAAAAGGAAAAGAAAAACATCTCATACTGATACTGTTTGGGAGCTGGCAGGTGTTTCCCTACAAAAGAATCACCTCCCTAACCATCACCCAGAAATAAAGTCCACTGGACAACAAACCACCAATCTGCATTTAAATGCCTTTCTCTTAAATATGAATAGCTAAAATACTAACATCTGAAAAAAAGCTTCTGTTTTTTTTTTGAGACGGAGTCTCACTCTGTCACCAGGCTGGAGCACAGTGGCGCAATATCAGCTCACTGCAACCTCCGCCTCTGAGTTGAAGCAATTTTCCTGCCTCAGCCTCCCGAGTAGGTGGGACTATAGGTGCACACCACCATGCCCAGCTAATTTTTGTATTTTTTAGTAGAGACAGGGTTTCACCATGTTGGCCAGGATGGTCTCGATCTCTCAACCTTGTGATCCACCCGCCTCAGCTTCCCAAAGTGCTGAGATTCCAGGCATGAGCCACCACGCCCAGCCCAAAAGCTTCTAACATAAAGTCAGAGGCCTAAACAAAGGAAAAAGGAAAGGAAAGAAAACATGAAAAAAAATCATTAAATCTTCAGAGTGCTAAGAGAGAATACATTAGTATGTTATGAAATACAAAACAATCAGAACAAAAAAAACTTTAGAAACTGAAAAAAGTATGACAGCCAAAATAAAAGATTCAATAGAAGTGCAAAAAATAATGTTGAGAATACCTCCTAAATAAAAATCACATGGCCAGGCACTGTGGCTCAATCCTGTAATCCCAGCATTTTGGGAGATGGATAGATCGCTTGAGTCCAGGAGTTCAAAATCAGCCTGGGCAACATGGCAAAACTCCATCTCTACAAAAAGACAATACAAAAACTAGCCAGGCATGGTGGCATATGCCTGTAGTCCCACTTACCTGGGAGGTTACGGTGGGAGGATCACTTGAGCCCAGGAGGTCAAGGTGGCACTGAGCTGTGATTGCATCATTGCACTTTAGCCTGGGTGACAGAGCAAGACCTTGTTTCAAAACAAAACAAGGCTTATATTCAAAAGACAGGTAATAACAAATGTTTGCAAGAATGTGGAGAAAAGGGAATCTTCATATGCTGTTGGTGGGAACGGAAATTAGTACAACCATTATGGAGAACAGTTTGGAGGTTCCTCAAAAAACTAAAAATACAGCTACCATATCCAGAAATCCCACTGCTGGGCATATACCCAAAAGAAAGGAAATCAGTATATTGAAAAGGTATCTGCACTTCCATGTTTGTTGCAGCACTGTTCAAGAGCCAAGACTTAGAAGCAACCTAAGTGTTCATCACAAATGAATGGATAAAGAAAATGTAGTACTTACACAATGGAGTACTATTCATCCATAAAGAAGAATGAGAATCAGTCATTTGCAACAACATGGATGGAACTAAAGATCATTATGTTAAGTAAAATAAGTCAGGCACAGAAAGACAAATATCATATGTTCTTACTTATTTGTGGGATCTAAAAATCAAAACAATTGAACTCATGGACATAGAAAGTAGAAGGATGGTTACCAGAGGCCAGGAAGGGCAGTTGTCAGGGTGGGAAGAGGTGGGGATGGTTAATGGTACAAGAAATAGAAAGAATGAACAAGAACTACTATTTTATAGAACAACAGGGTGACTATAGTCAATAATAATAATTTAATTGTACATTTAAAAATAACTAAAAGACTATAACTGGATTGTTTATAACACAAAGGATAAATGTCTGAGGGGATGGATATCCCATTCTCCATGATGTGATTATTATGCTGCATAATTGTATCAAAAAATCTAATGTACTCCAAAAATATATATGCCTACTATGTACCCACAAAAATTAAAAATAAAAATTAAGAAAGAGAAAAATTTCCAGAACCAAAGGATACAAGTTTCCAGCCTAAAAGGGCTCTCAAATACCCAGTATGAGTAATAAAGGCCTATTGAAAGATACATTGTTGTACAGTTTTAAAACACCGGAATGGGAAGGTCCTAAAAACTACCATCTGCCATAAAGTAAAAAACAAACAAATGGGGAAAAAAGAGATTACATGCTAAGGGAAGTAATTCACAATGGCAACAGACTTTTCAAAGTGGCACTGGAAGATAGAAGGGAGTAATGTCCTAAAAATTCTAACGTTACATAATTATCAAACTGGAATTTAATCATGAGTGAAGAAGAAATTAAGACATTTTCAGACAGGCAAGGAAGTAACTGGAAGATATGCTCCAAATACAGAAAGAATAAACTAGGAAATAACAAAAAATAGAATTCAGGAAACAGTAGATTCAACCTAGAAGAACACCAAAGAGAAGTCCCAGGATGGCAGTCGGATAGCAGGTGTAGAGGGCAAAAAGCTCAGAAAGAGCAGGCTGCCAGGCTCCAGAAGAGTAAGTACAACCATTGCCAGAGGTAAGTTATGAATACATTGATTGATTTCTGCAAAAGAGTCTCAATAGTGGGCATATATGAAGCATCAAAAGCTCATACGTGGCCTGAAATAGGTGGCTTCCCTAAAAAATATTTCAACAACTTAGAAAATGCTGAGCTGAGAAGTACAATACTAGTATCTTACTTCCTCGCATAACCACTGGTGTGTTTATATCCTAAAAATAAAGGTTAAAAATGCTATTAGTTCAGTAATTATTAAATTATCTTTATGTCTCTTTTCTTACTTTAAATCACTAGCAATCATGACTTTAAAAAGAGAGATTATCTATAGTTGAAGAAAAAATTTAAAAATAAGCAGAAAAAACGAACAGACAAATCACAAAGAAATCTAAATGGCAAACAAATATACCGAAAAGATAAATTTTGTACGAAATCAAGAAAAACAGCATTTTTCCCTCAAAGTGAACAAGAAAAGATGAGGAACCAAATGTAAATGCTTGAAAAACATTATTTCCCTAAAATATGGTCATTCTGCCTCTGGAAATCTACCCTAGAAATAATCTCAAACACTAAAGAAGTATTATGCTCATTGTTGCATTTTGTTTTTCCTGTGCTGAAATAATCCCTAATAGCATTTTGTTTTGTTTGAAAAAACAGAAAAGAAAAATAAAGTCTTCCCATAACTGTTCTATTTAAAACTACATATAATGTATATATACAATGTTTATAAAAGTAAATAGTGAAAGCCTCACTCCAACCTTCCAATCTCTCTCGAAGTTATCAACAGTGTGAAGCATAGTTTCTACCTTAATATATCACATGTATATATATTTACATACAAACACACAAACAGACACACATACACTTCTTATAAAGAGGAAAACTAAGATTATTATACGTGTGTACTGCTCTGTAATGTTTTTCTGCCACTAAATATATTAGGTAACAGTTTTTGAGTGCTGACTACACATAGACACTGTTTTAAGTGACTACAAACATTATATCATTTAAACTTTATCATGCTCCATATAAGTCAAACAACTTTGCATCTTAGTACTAGTATATTTACCTCATTTTTTAAAAAAAGGTTTTGTTACAATCTATCTTATGGGTATACCATAATTTACTATGTCTCCATTATTGGGCATTTTGGTTTCTTCTAATTTTTTGTGTAATACCAACCATTTAGTAAAAAAATAGGAAACCACTGAAATACGGGAATTAACTAAGTTACGCTATAATCACATGAAATATAATGCTACCATAAAAAATGATCAATGGAAAAGCTATGTAAATGCATCAGAAAATGCATAGACTATATATACAGTAAAAAAACAGAAAACACCAAAACTATTTAAAACAGTCTGGATTCAACTATGTATTAAACTGGTAAAGCGGTTTCTAGGTGGAAACTCTGGGTGATCTTTCTTCCTCTTTTTGCTACTTTTAAATTTTTCAACAATGACAATGTGTTATTTTAAAAGGGAAGATAAGTAAGTTATACTTCCTTTGTATAAAAAATAAGACCACACAAATTGGTAATCTTAACACCTTAAGAAGCTGACTTATCTAAATGCGAAACTGTAAAGTTCCCTTCAATCATTTTCAGATATAATTCATACAATATTGATTTTATAACATGTTGACACTACAGTATTATAATGAAAATTACTTCACATAACACATTAAGGCAATGTAGCAATACAAGGACTCTTTTTCCAATTATTAATCTTAAAATAACAACTATTTTCTGCTGGCAAACTCGTCATTTCAAGATACATACTTTTGCTCTTGACTGTGTTAATTCAAAGTGGATAGATTCAAATTTTGTCATTAAGGAATGATTCTGTGTGACCAAACAAGCATTCTGTTGCCTAAGTTTATTTAGTTTCTCTCGAAGGCTTTTAATCTCCTGATCCACAGGGGTAGAAGATGAAAACATCTGAAAGAATGAAAAAGAACAAATATATTTTCAATTATTTCAATTAACGGTTACATGGAATTAATGGAAAATTATGAGCAATTATTAATAAAATGACCAAGCAGCTCAGAAAATGAGTTAAAATACTTAGTGAGTATTGACAAGGATATGTGGAACAATCAATACTCTCTCCTCCACTGCTGGTGAAAGTATATACAAGTATAACCTGGAAAACAGTGGTACACTTTGGGAAACTGGCTGGTATTATCCAGCAAAGTTGAGTATGCTAAGAACCAACAATATCATCCCTAGATATAAACCTGATAGAAACTTTTGTACTTTTGCATGTGCAGATATAAAACTATTCATAGCTACATTGTCCACAAGAGATAATAAATGGGAAGAACCCAAATGTCCACCAACAATAAAATGGATAATAGGTAAAATATTATTTTATCTGTATACATATTTTTATTATATTCTTTTTATACATATTTTACAATATTTAATTTTCATGAGGATTGTGATTTTCAAAACATTTCTTTTAATTAACTTTATTTTGAGTGATTTATTTATGCAATTCAAAATTCAAAACTATATAAAAGAAAAAGTATACACAGAAGTCTCTTCCCATCTTTAATAGGTGGGTAACCACTTCTATAAGTTTCTTGTTTAGTCTTCTAGTGATTCCATACACATACATAAGCAATACAAATTACCCACTTCCCTCCTCTCCTTATGCAAAAACTAGCACATTAGATATAACATTCTGCACCGTGCATTTTTTTTTAACTTGGAACAATATACACTGGCAATCTCTCCATAATAAATACATTGACAAACTCCTTTTCTCAACTGCATAGTTTCCATTGCATGAATAAACCATTATTCAACTAACCGCCTATTACTAGATACTTGAACTATTTCTAATCTTTTGATATGATCAACAATGCCTAATTTCATATCCTGCAGGTGTGTCTATAGTATCATTTTCCAGAAATGGGAGTTCCAAGTCAAGGTAAATGTATTTGTAATTTTGGTAAATATTGCCAAATGCATCTCAGTTGGGGTTATATCACTGTGCATTCCCACTAGGCAATGTACCCGTACCCAATATCACCTATAAAATAACATCTCAAACATCTGAATGTTTAATAATTCTATAGGTAAGAACTAGGTAAGGTATTTAGGTATAGTTTCATTTTGAATTTATCTTATTATGAGGAAATTGGACACCTTTTCATTAGTTTGGATATCATTTTTATTTCTTTTTCCCTTCATGTCTTTTGCCCATTGGGTTACTGACCTTTTTGTTCTCAGTTTCTAGGAGCTCTTTACACACTAGATTATCCTTTTGTGTTTGATAGTCATTACCATTATTGTTTTCCCAATTAAGGCACATATAAAGTAAGAATGATCAGCAATTTGAATGAGGATAGAGATCAAATTTCTTGGAATTACATACCACGTAAACATGGAATTTGAATTTGTTTCTAAAAAGTAGGTTCAGACAGCTTCATTAAGTAGCTTCCTTACAAAAAAGAAAGCTCTTAATGGTTGGCTTTCCGAAGTGGAAACGCAAATATGTATCCAAAAAGATTATGTGCAACCATATCTGTGTATATACAAGTAGGGAGTGCAGGGAACAAAGAATAGGAAGAGAATGTAAAAGGAGATAAAAGGGTTGAGTGAGGAAGAGGGATAAATGCAGGGAGACAAATATATGATAGAATAAGAAAAAGGAAGACAGTTTCAGACCAAGCAAAGATCTCTAACATCATGGACAAAATAGAAAGATAATGAAAGAATAGTGCCATACTATTCACAGTATTTGATCCAGGCTAAATGGTGGGTATACCTTAACCACTTAATAAATAATTGATTACCTATTATGTATAAGATGTAGTGTTAAAATCAAGGGGATTATAATTTACTTAAGAAGACATTTAACTGCAAAAAGGTAATAAATATATAAGTTAAAAAGTAGAGTAATACACCAAGATAACTACTTTCTTGTTAGAACATAAAAAGAACAATTATATTTAAATTCTTGAGTACCAGAGTAAAAGATTACAGAAACCATGAATAAGGTATTTAAAGAAAAACTGAAAAAAAAATTTTTTTAAGTAGGCAGGCCTAAAACCAACACTTCTGTTAACTAGATAGGTGTAAAAATAATAACCTTATCTCTTGCCTTTTTTTGAAAATCAGTGCTGCTACCAGATATTTTACAAACGTTTTCATAAGGTGAATAATTCAGAAGTCCAGGGTGGCTAGGCTGAACATCCAAAATTAGCTTTTCAGACCTTGAAGGATTAGGGGCATAATCAGAATTTTCACTTGGACTAACACTAGAGAAAAAAGAAAAAACATATTTCAGTTCTTGGATAGTTTATTCACTATAAATTGCTATACATTAAATAAGAAAATAGAAAACCTGAAATGCTGCTAAGTAGATTCACAGTTATGAACATAAGGCAATGTTCCACTAAATTTTAAATAAATCATAATTACTTTTAAACTAGCAAACTGTATTTCTAGAGCCTCTATGCCGATTACTTAAGATTCAAAAAAGCATTAAAAAATTAATAAAGCCCAAAAATATATTTTATACTGAGTTCTAATACACTGAAAGTGTTTTTAATATGCAAAGAGGCTTCTCTAATATTCCTATTTTTCCCTAAACTGAAAGTTATATTAAAAAGTGTAAGAAAATTATTTCTTATTCCAGAGACACTTTAGAAACAATACATAATAATGAAATTCACACATTTTATATTGATATATTTAAGGCACAGTGAATTCTGTATGTGATTTTACCTACTTACCTGGATAACTCTTCCCCTAAACTCTGCAAACTCCATTCTGTTATCTTCAGTTCATGTCTTAAGGAAGCAACATTTGCAAGCAAACTTTCCTCTTCATTGTCTTTATTACAGTAGTCTGATGAACTAGATTCCATTTCTTAAAAAAAAATGAATTTCTTGTACCTTGCCTGAAAGATTCTGTAGTTTCAGTCAAAATACTCACACGAATAGAATTTAACTCATTAGTTTTCTATTTCAAATGTTGTGAAATCTTTCATGGCGGTTTAAAACAAAACAAAAAATCAATAATAATGAATTTATCTGTAGTGTAAAGCCATAAAGGAGTTCAATACAATTTCAATGAATGAATTTTTCATTTTAGCCAGGGTCTAGTTATATAGTTCCCCTTTTCTAAGCATACCCGATCTTCCTAGCAATTGTTAAGTATTTTCATTCCATGTTAAGGAAACTAAGAATTAGACATTAAATAACTTGCTCAAAGTCCCACAAACTGTAAATGGTGAAATCAAGACTTGAATCCAAGTCACTAGGATGCAAAGACCATTAAATTATGTCTCATTGTAGCTTTATTACTTATTACATATCAATTTCAATATGAGGTGTTTGAACTTTCACAATCACACTACGAGTACTAGACATCTGATTAAATGGTATCATTACAGTCATTCATATTTTGTTAGAAGGGAATTTATTACCAGATAAAAGTTGTCTCGTCCTTCTACGCCCAATAGTTACAAAATTTAAAAAACACACATTTACAAGTCACAACCATAGGGATCAAAATAACATTTGGCAGGTCAACTTAAAGAAATAAACGAAGAAAAGCTTTTGCTTCTTCAGTGGATGAGTATCTCTAGGGTTGTGTAACTACTAAATTTCTTTGCATATAAAAAACCATAATGAAGCATCATATTTTATTATTGTAATTAATACAATAAAAAAACTAAAGCTTTATAATCTCCACTACTTCTGTAGAGCTTTCTGCGCAATCTTAAAATTACATTCCTCTTTCAGATCCCATTTACCTTTTTCACTGTAGCATTTCCTTCAACACCCTTCTTAGCATTCTGCTCCCATCCCAAGTTCCAAAAGGTTGGGAGTCCTGCCATTACGTTCAGGACTGCAATGTACTTACAGAGGCTCAATATTTTGAATGAATTAACAAATACTAAACTATCCTTCCTTCCCTCAATCAGTCAGAATAGTATGCTACATTTATTCCCCACTCAAAAATTATCAAACGTAGGGAGGAAGATTAAAAAGAAAACTCCCACCTTAAGGAAAGAAAGTGGCAGGAAATTAAATGAGATACTGTGTAATCTTAATAGACAAACTGGTTCTATCCTCTTTCCCTTTTTTGTTTCCACAAATTTCCTTCTGCTTAAGTGACAAGACTCTCGCAGACAAGTCAATAAATCAGGTCCCCATCTTGCTTTATCTATTCAACATCTCTAGCTCTCTGTAGGATGGTGAAGGAGAAAAGGGTTGAGAAAATTGGGCAAAATCTATAATGTCATTTGGTATTATATATTTCGTCTTAAATCAGGTTTTAGTTCAACATCTGTGTATTTTCATGTAAGAAATAACTGTCAGACCGGGAGCGGTGGCTCACGCCGGTAATCCCAACACTTTGGGAGGTTGAGGCAGGTGGATCACGAGGTCAGGAGTTAAAACCTGGTCAAGATGGTGGAACTCCGTCTCTACTAAAAATACAAAAAAATTAGGCATGGTGGCGGGCGCCTGTAATCTCAGCTCTGGGGAGGCTGAGGCAGAGAATTGCATGAACCCGGGAGGCGGAGGTAGCAGTGAGCCGAGATCACACCACTGCACTCCAGCCTGGGCGACAGAGTGAGACTCCGTCAAGAAAGGGGAGGGGAGGGGAGGGCAGGGCAGGGGAGCAGCATGTTCTCCAGGCC